CAAGGAACCGAGCAGTTAAGCACTGCGTTCACACAGCAGCCAAACAGCTGCCCAGAGGAAACGCACAAGCAGGATATGAGGGCACAACTTTCACCTTAGATTATAAACAAGACCTCCTCTGCCGCTCACACCAATGCAATTCTTAGCTGGAAAAGTGAGAACGCTGCGCAGGTGAGCGACTGAGAGGAACGGCTCGCCATTTCACCTTATTCTTTTCTTACGGATAACGAACTGGGCCTCGTAGACCAACCCCACCCCCTCTGCCCAAAGAGAAGGCAAGGAAATGCCAGAAGTGGCAGGGGGCCTGCGTTCCTCTTCCCTGACCTGCGTCGCACGAAGGCAATCTCCCCTATCCCGTTGCCTAGCTAGATAACGCGCATTATCCGCCACGTCTGCCCGCTTGATGAACTTTTCTCTTGGTGCCGCGGTGAAGAGGGCTGGACTTACTGGAGAGGCAGAACAAGAAATGCCCGGCTTCTCCCTCAAGGCGTGCTTGCTGGGGGTCTCTGTCATCACCTGCTACTAAAGGTCACACACGAGGGCACCGGACGGATGAACGCGAGGATATTCAGCCCAGTTCTGAAAGATGACGCCCCTCTCCCCACTGACTAAGAGAAGCTACTGAATAGGCCCAGCATGGATGCAACCGCGAGGGAAAGAACAAACCTAGACGAAGCCCTCATCCTCATCACACACGCGCGCACCCCCTTTACCTGGGTCCGAGCATCGCTGCAGCGGTCCCTCTAAAAGGGCACTATGAGCTTTAGGCCGCGGTCTACTCCCAGTCTCCATAGAAACAACGCCTCATTCAGCGACTGGAGCATCACGGGACTTGTAGTTCTTTAGCCGCAGAGGCGGTTATAATAGCATAAAAGTTAAAGTGATCTCACTGTGTGGGTTGTCCTCGCCCCACCTCAACTAAATGTGCACTATTAGCTGTTCCTGTGGTTAGACTGAGGCAAATAACAACCCTCCCCCCCCGCCCGAGTAGTTATTATAACGTTTGTAAGGACTCACTGCTGAAGACCCTAATGCTGGGAACAATTGACGGCAAAAGAAGGGGACAGAGGAGGATGAGGTGGCTGGATGGGGTCACTGAAGCAGTCGGTGTGAGCAGTCGGTGGACTCCGGGGGATGGTGGAGGACAGGAAGGCCTGGAGGAATGTTGTCGATGGAGTCGCGATGGGTCGGACGCGACTTCGCGACTAGCAACAACGCCCCTTTTTCATTTTGCAAAGAACCCTAGGCGGTTTACCTAATCCTCCTCGCCACTTTATATTTACAACAAACCTGTGATGTCGTTTAGTTTGAGGGTCAGTGACTGCCCTAAATTCGCCCAGTGAACTTTATTATATGAAATATTTGCATTTGGGTTTTTAAAGTTATTGGGTAAAAGGTCCCCTGGAATCTTGTCAGACCAGGCCTTCAGGTCCCCAGTTAATACCTAGTTGTTTCTGGGGGTCCTTTAGAGTTGTACAGTGCAATCCTATGCCTCTGTACTTATGCCATAAGTAAGTCCTATAGAATTCAATGAGACTTACTCTTAAGTAAGGTTATAGGACTTAAATTCAAGTCAGATGTTTTTCTGTGACTACTCTTTCAGTGGCATATGTTATATTGTAAGATACTTGTATGGGAGTGCATGTATACTGGCTACAAAACAGGAAACATGAACTGACTAAATGATGCTGTAAAGTCTAAGATGTCTTCACGTCAGCTGAATTTTCCATGACAGAACATGAGAATATTTTGCTAATGCCTTTATTTGTTAGAATGGTTTACAATCATATAAAAATACCTTATACAAAAGAATGCTAAATATCCACAAAATAAATACAAATATTCTACATATAAATTAATATTCTATAATTATTTTTGCTTGAAATACAATTTTAATAAAGTTGTGTTTTATTAAGTTTATTAAACAAACTGCATTTAGTTTTCATTGATTCATCATTTTGGGATTAAACAGATCCATATAAATCTACATGAAGAGCTCTCCTGTAACCATCATTGATGCAAATCACCCAGTCGTCTTAGTTGTATGTAAAAATATTTATGCAAGACTAGCTTGCACCAGGAAGTAGATAATGATGAGCATCCCAGAAAGCAGTGCATTAGGTATACGTAGGCAGATACACTTTTAGAAGTGCCTTTGAATGTGCATCCAATTTATGTTTGGGGGTTCCTAATCCAGCCAGTGATACACAGGCAGAAGCCTGCTTATGTATGTAGATCTCATTTGTGGAGTCATTTGAGAATGACTGAGGTCATATATGATGCAATATAATGTTACAATTGTACCATAAACGAAATCTGAGTAATTCTGGACTCTAAAAGCTGTAGAAGGGTACCACCATTAATCTGCATTAAGACAAGCAGCAAATATGATGACAGATACAAAATCGTATCACAATGTACCTTAAATATACTACCAGATTTATCTTGAATGTAGCTATTTAAAAATAAAATATGCTGTGTTTCATCACATACTTTAATTTTTCAGAATGAAAAAAGCAAGCAAGCAAACAAACAAATCCAGGCCTGTGAATTCAGCTTTTTTAAGTGACTAATGACTTCTTCAAGTGCAGATCCATCCTTTAGGAAGCAATTCTATGGCTCCTAGTAATTGTCTAAATTCAGATCCAAGGTGACAGATCATGCTCTGACTATATACCTGAGGATGGGAGCTCTACAATCCTGCCCCTGTCAACTTGTATAGAAAGACCTGCATTGGCTACTCTCCAAGATCAAGAAAGTGACCTCAGAGAAGGGCAGAAGTAGTTGGCAGGGGAGGACAATGATAATTCTAGGACCTCTACTATCCAGTTATCTCAAGAGCAAATACTAATACATGAAGTAATACATAGCAAACATTTAATGGTACAGGGGAGGTCTTTCTAGAATGCTGTGATTACAATGATATTGCCCCACAAACAGTTATAACCTGATATACCATCAGATTCTTGTAAAATAGAAACAATGTAATTTGATTTTTTTTACACGTTCTAATTCCAGAACAAGGCAGGGAACACTAAAAAGGATCACACAGGAAGCAACAAGAGGGCATATTTGAGAGGGAAGTGATTGTATCTAAATAGCTGACTGGGCTTGTATTACACAACACATCAATATGGGTAAGTAGAAATGGTGGCTTGCCATGTTGTTTGAACCTGGACTCCTTCCGGCAGGGTGGCTTTTTAATTAATGACCATGGCTTATTCTAGGGGTTGTTGGACTCACAATGAGTTGGTGCATCATTTGAACCTGAACAACTGATCTCATTTGTTGTTGGAAGCCACGGGTGAGAGATTCAGCCAGTGCATCAAATCCCTTGTAGCTCTTACTTGAGCCACTGCCAGTGATAACTGCTCAGCAATCAGCCAAGCAGTAATTTGGAGCAACCATCACTTTCACTTAGGAAAGTGAAGCTCATGAGGCTATCCCTTTCTTGCACACTTCTTTTGACATTTGTCAAGAGAAAGGGTATTCATTTTAAAATCCCTTGACAAAGCTCCACGTTTATTCTTTGATAGGTAACCAATCGAAAAAGAAAAAGGACAGGGGAAAGACAGGCAATCACAACACAGAGAGGGGACAAGGAGGATTCAGCTGTCAAGGACCAAGGGGGAAAGTACAACTCACAATAAACCTGTAATTTGTCAGGCACACCATAGGTCGTTCAATGAGCAACATATACTATGTAGCTTATTCCCAGGGTGGACTGCTATTTCTCTAACTATTAACTACTTGTTATTCAGGTTCACAGTGATTTTTATTCTATCCAAACAAATGTATATATACTACATTCACTGACCATAAGTACAGTTTACCTAGTACCTGGGAATTATTCAGAAAAATATCATACTGGCTCTTGGAAGTCACTACTAAAATTTATTGTACCGTAAATCATAGTGTTTTTCTTTCCAGTGTAGCCAACTCAATGTACAAAAACATGCTGCTTGCATCCATTTTCATAGGTATATGATCTCATAATAAAGTAGGTCCTTTGGTTGGTCTGTTCTTCAGCAAAAATGGATGACACCCTATATCCTTGGGTTTTTGCCTTCCTGCTTGTGGAGACAGTGATGCTGGAGCAGAAAGGTGGTGAACAGCTCCCTTTTGTTGATGGAAATTATTAATGTAGCTTGCAATCAATAGAGTAATTTCAAGAATCTAGAAGAAAAAAAATCACTGCTGATTTATTACATACATATATTAGACCATAATAGAGTCAACAGGTTTCAATTAACACACTGACCTTTGGTCTGGCCATAGTAAACAAGAGTTTTTCAGTTGACTTTTCTTGTGTGTGCACTTTGTTAACCACTAGCATGAAGTCTTCTTGATAACCTCCAAAGGTCATCAGATTCTTGTATAAATAGGTCACTATTAATCTCTTGAAAGACAGAAGAAAAATGAAGCTCCGTGTAAACAGGAAAGAAACCAAAAACAGCGAATACATGACTTCTGTTAATTTTAGCATGCACTGCTTTCAACACATGTTGCCATACTTTGTAATCAACTAATTACTCATTTTTAAAAGACTGGTTTTATTGGATGATACCACATGTAGCATATGGAGGATTAAAAGTACAATAGTATGTTTTCAGAAGCAAGTAAATTTATCACATGGCTATCATATATGAATCAAATTATTTTGTGGTATGCTCACTGCATACTATAGCTAAAACATAGACATGTATACAGTAATGTTGGAAATGGAAATGGAAATGGGGAAATGGAAGCAAATGCAGTGGTGATATGCCGTCATAGTCTTAACAAAGGTTTACTCAGACATATGAGCTGCTGATTTCAATGGTTAAAGGTAGACCCAGTGAAATCAATAGGAAGCTAGGCGTGACTACTGTATGACCAAGTCTGGATCCAACACAAGACTTGACTTAGATGTAAGCTCCTTTGCTTATGTTAAGATCAACCTGAAGTGGCCTAAATTAGTCCACTCAGCCAGACCATACTAAGCCATCCTACTAAGGTCTAAGAAGAATAAATTTCCACGTTACAATCAATTGCAGTTCTCAGCTAAAAGAAGGAGTATATACTAGCTACTACAGGCTAGATGCTGGCATTGTGATGCAAATCCCTGGCTGAGGTCATCTCAAGGTGAAGGTGAAATACATTGTCTGATAAATTACTCCAGTGCTAAACAAGAAAGAACCTTTGAGAACTGACCTCTGTAAGGTATTAGTCAGGGTAAAATGCATGACTCTTTTGAGGAATCTCCATCAAGATATAAGTGGATCCAAAAAGATATACTCGACTGGGAAAGGAAATGTGGTGTCTTTTCTTTGGTAGCCCAGAGGAAGATCTGGCACAGGAACCAGAAGTGAACTATGAAGACCACAGGGTTTCAAATAACTAAAACATACAGCTTAATGTAGGTCAGTGAATATGTAGACTATGTGTGTATATGTGGTGGGGGGTGGTTCTGTTTTATTTACCATTGTTCTGTTTTGTACCGCTTGCCTGATTCCCAGTTTGTTCTCATCAAACCCAATCTGTGAGTTTTTGGGATTAAAGGGGGCAGGCTAACAAGGTGGTACAACACTGATTAACAACCACTGCTAACACAACATGCTAAGCAAAATCTGTAATCTAAGTTCTACTCCTGTAAGGTCACAAGAGGGCTGCAAAGAAGTCCAATGCAATGGATTCCAGCAGATATTTGGCTAGTCATTCTCAAGGACAGATTGTATTCACTTGATAGTAGATATTTTCATCCAGCTACAACTTCTCAGGCCACATAGGATGTTACTCTAGAGGGACTACCTCCTGCTCTTGGAAGGTGCTTTTTGAGCTAAAATGCCACTGTACATAAGCAGCTAAAGTTCCCACATATAAACGTAATACCAGATGAGGCCTTGTAATGTAATGAATCTGGCCATTTTTATGTTGCAAAATTATTGGAACACAATTTCTATTTTAGTACCTATTCAAATGTTCAATCATTTCCTTCAATAGTTAGAATCTGAATCAATGGATTAAGCAGCTGTGTGTACAGTACACAGTAAATCAGCCACAAGTTTGCTAAAGGTTAATGGAGGCAGAATATTGATTAGATTTTATGGCTCAAACTATTTCCTCTTTACCATAGAGCTGTATTCAAGAATGTTTATGCCATCTTCATAAACGGCCAGCCATATCAAAGTATTCTCCAGTGTGGATATTGTCATAGCCTATAAGTGAAACATACCAATATTAGTTGCATTTATTATTTTAACTATCATAATTAAATATTTTTAACTTTGCTTTTGATACTGAAAGTAGAAAATCAGATCCAAAAAGCAGAAGAAATTATGAAGGCAAATGATATAAGTAGTCTGCTCTTTCCTGAGGAGACAAAACTGGCATCATTACGCTGCAGTACCAATCCACTACTTAATTATGTTCCAATATAAAACAATTAAAGACCTGTCTGGTTTTCATATTATTCCTGTAAAACTTGCTTTTTTAATTGTTTAGTGATGTAAAAATTAACACATGTTTCCATCACATACTGATAGGTATGGTAAGATTTAATAACCTACAATGCACTATATCTACTTAGTTCTGCTATGAACATGAATTTTCTTGCTTCATTCAATGAAATACATAAAACTCGCAAGATACTATCAAATGCTTTAAAGCGCTAAATGATAGTGTTGGGAATTGTAGGAGGGGTGGTTGTATAAATATGTGTACGATTGAATGCCTGAGAAAACTGGTTTCATGGTAAACTGTGTTGAAGGTCAGTAAAACCACCCTAATTCTTTTAATGAAAGGTGAATAGAAATCCTTAAAATAATAATTAATGACATAATGTTTTGCTTTCCTCATTACATCAGCCTTATGTTTTTGTGAGGAAGTGACACAGTCTATATAATTCTTGCTGATCTTTCATTTGCCTATTTAAGTGATACCACCCAATACCATAAAGCGAGTAGTCATTGTAATAATTAATATAAAATGGCCATGCTGGATCAAATGAATAGTCCTTCTAGTCTTTTTTGTTTACACAGTGGCGAACAGGTGCCCAATGGATCCCCCTAACAGGATATGGGTGCAACAGCATCTTCCTGCCCAAGTTCCACAGCAACTGGCGCACATAGGCATATTTATTTATCTATTTATTTGGGATACTTGTATGCAACTGGTGCACATAGGATGTTTGTTTGTTTGTTTGGGATACTTGTATGCCAAGTATAGAGGAGCATAGACACTGTTCCTCGAGGAAGCATTACAGCCATCAGGATTAGTAGGCAGCGATAGGTCTCTCTTCCATGAACTAATGTGTGGCTACCATACTATTTATGCTGCTGCTCAGAATAAAAGAAAAAGATAATGTAATGAAAATTCTTACTTTTGCTGCAAACAATTTGGCACCAAAGAAAGGCCATTTTCGGACAACAGCAAGGTAAATGCGCACACAATCTGTAGCACTGTGACCTCGGAGAGCCATCCACTTTGTTGATAGTCGCTGGCAAAGCTGTCTGTTGATATGGACCTTATGAGCATTTAGCAGCACAAAGATATTTGGGATGGGGTGCAGAGGAGGAGAAGCCAAATATAATCCAAAACAAATAGTGGCAAGTGTTAATTAAGTATTGAGATCTATCTTTGATAAGGAGTTCATGCCTCTTATAAAATGCAAGAGAACAACGGTCCCAAGAGTGGCACCCAGAAGGACCTTCAACGAAACCCATGAATCTTTCCATTCTCCTTCTCTTCAAAACTATTTTGATAAAATCGTAAAATCCTTTCTAGTCTCTAGCCTTACTGTTTCTCTACTCCTTTGTATTGCTATATACCCCCCCTCCAGGCTTCTAACTTTGCTATTTCTATCCCTACCTTGCTGTTTCTCCCTACCACTCAGCCTTTCTCTTTCTATCATCACTACCCCTTTGCCTTACTTTCCCCTCTCCCTCCTAGCCTCACAATCCTCCCAATGTTCTGTAGCTCACTTTTGACTAACCAGGACTCCACAGCAGGTATTACGTGACTAGCCACATCATCCATGGGAACTATTTTGTGGTGGTGCCCACAGCAGTATCTCAAATATACCCATGAGTGTAAACAGGTTGGGGACTCCTGAAACAGAAAATAAGCCATGTGCCTAACATAAAGTTTAGGTTAAAAAAAAAATCATTTTGTAAAGGAATAATGGTAAGAGGCAGTTTGCAAACCACTGGATAACAGGTCCATGTGATTGGGAAAAATGATTGTAGATTATGAGGATGGAATAGACAGTTCTCTGCAGTACTCCAATTTACAGGTGAGACATATAACATAAGAGCACCATATATTTTGAAGAGGATTTTATCATGAAATCTCATGCTCACTTGCAATAATTAAAATAGTAAAATAAACAAAACATGTGTTTTAAACTATGGAAATAGACAACTTGCCTATTCTATTTGCTATTGTTTATATCTATGTATTGTGGAAAGCCTCCCATAAGAAAGAAACTGCATGTAGAAGGACCAGGCAAGTGTATGTTGATAAGGCCATGGCAGAATGGTGAAGTCACATGTTCAAAGATGGGCATAATCTGTAACACATGATTTGCTACTTTAACCTATAGAAATGCTAGTTGAGAGCTTAGGTAACTTGCATGAGTGGTCTAACCAATAATTTTGTTGATACTAATATATGTGTCTTCTGTGGAAATGGAATTCATACATTGTAAGGTATAAAGAGTCTAGAATAATAGAAAGATCTCTGTTCCCAGTGGAGCTTCTGGTGTGCTGAAAATAACTCAAATCTATCACTGTAAGAAGTCATTTTCAACAGTATGAAAGCTTTTCTAAAAAGAAAAAAGAAAAACTTTTTTCTTTTAAAAAGAAGTAATCTAGTGATTTTAGTAACAATACATTCAACTTGTCTAGTATCTGCATAAGGAATCTAATAATTACAATACGAAATGCAAATTTTATGTAATACTATTTGTACTTTATTGAAAAAAGTACAGCCTTTAGCAGCATACCTTAATTGTTCTTCTGAAGAGCCATCCCTATATCTTTTTGGATAAAACTTCTCCACAACTTGCTTTAAAGTCTGATTAGATTTTGATTGGGAAGTGACTTGCCCTGCAGGAGTTGAGAAAGGCCTTTCAAAGTCCCCAATCTCCACCTAGTGGATGGGTGAAGAAAGAAATGGTATTATAGGATAATGTCGGTATTCAGCGTACCTGCACTTTAACATGTGGCAATTATTCATCATCTTCATTTAAATTATATGTATTCCATATAGCTAAATATTTAAAGCCAAGTCAAGAATCTGTGATTACTCCATTTTAGTAGCTGAAGTTTTGGATACAATATTTAAACAACAGTATGCACATGCAAGAAGTACTGTATAATGGTTTAATGAATCTTGCTTTATATGATATAAATGGTACTAATTTTATACTGCCTTAATTACCTGTGCCATAAGTGCTGCCAATTCTAGTGCTAGATCTTTGTTTACAGGGAAAAGCCCATTTACAATCTGATCATTTGTCTGATACATTAACAGCAGCTTTTCTCTTTCAGTCTCTCCACGGATTTGCACTGAAAAATAGAGTCTGAAAAAGGTGACATGTTATAAAGTCAAAATTGCAGTGTTAGCATGCGTAAGTGATAATTTACAACATTTGTGTCTGTATTAGTAAGGAATTAAAAATGCTATTAAAGGGCTAATAATAAAAGTGTGATTATTTTCCTACTGATAATCTGGTAGTAAATTATGCCCTCTGCAGAGATAGCAGAAGGAACAATATACGCTCTGGAAGGCTAATTATTTCTGTAATGCAACATAATCAATGGGCTGTTTAATATGATATTGACACTAACCCATCAAATATCAGTATATCAATAACAATGTAATGGGGATGTGAAAGATGTGGTAGTCTAATGGTAGGAGAAAGTGAGATAAGACCGACATAAGGAATTTCCAGTTCCTAACTGAAAGCTTTGCAAAAAGGGGAAATGAAATGGGTAAGGAACTGTCTTTAGACAGCTCTGTCATACTCACCTAGCGTCACTTATCGCATAAACAACAGCTTTCAATTTGCAACTAGGCTTTTACACTACAGTTTATTCTTTCTTTCTTTCTTACACTTCTATATCACGCAATAGCTGAAGCTTTCTGGGCAGTTCACAGTTACTCTAATATGGTACCTTGGATAAAAGCCTATTTGCTTCATTTTCCCCTTTCTTAATTGCTAACTGTCTTTAGAGATATGACGGCTAGAAGGAAATAATTTCTGGTAGCTAAGTGAATTTCTAAGCCTAAGCCTGAAAGTTCTTTTTAAGCTTGAACCATCCATAGGGTGCTTTCAGAGGGCTCTAGTTCTATCAATCAGAAGGCATTGTACAGCTCTTCTGATTTTTCCTCATTAATAAGTATTTCTCTGGTAAACAAAAAGCCAAAAGAGAATCGTCTGGACCTTTTGTAAAATTCGATGAATGAGGCAGGCACAATAAAAGCCTGGGGGAACCCAGGAAGGAATGTACATGCCAAAGGCACTGTTTGCAACTAAATATTACACCCATCTAGTATACTGTAGATTCCTACAGATGTGATTTTCGGTTAGGAACTGGACAGTGTGATAGATGGATGTAATTTTCAATAGCAAGCAGTTTAAGATCTTTCCCTTTTCTCTGAGTTCAGTTCTATTATTTTCAAATGTTACTAGGGATGGAACATGATGTAATCAGAATCTTTTAAAAGCAGCCTCCAGCAGGAAAGAGGTGGCCTGTAAAAATGGGAGTGGAAATTTGAAAAGAGTCACAAAGAAGCTGACTTAAATCAGCCTTAGCTTCCTGGGTATCTGATATACTGAGTGATTCTATTTTCATAGTCAAAATGGGGTGTGTTTAAGCTTATTAGCTTGCTTCTAATAATTAATTTCTCAAAAGAAAAGCTCCAAGATTCAGGCCTATTTGGCTCTCTCATCCAGGAATGTAATTACTGCTGCAGTTACCCAATAGTAGGAGAAAGGTGACCTGTGCATACCTAGACTGACTCTCCTAAATATTATTCAAACGTTGCCTGACATAGCTGTGGCACTCCACACAGTTCTGAGGACTGATCTATGACTGCAATTAATCTGTCCTAAGCAGTAATGATTCCTGGAGCTATGAGTGAAACTCAGCATTATCTACCTGTTTTTGTAAGTAAGTCTTACTGTTCTTGTGCCTTCACATTTCCCAGGATGCTGTTCTTTGGAGGCCTGTTCCCATCTAGAAATAATGTCACAGATCTACAAGGAAAATTGTGAGGTGAGCGCATACATTCCAAAGTATTTTAAAGGTGCATTGGCACAATTTTTGTTTGGATTTTATAGCAACAAATCATTGAAATGTGATCCTATGCAAATATGTTTCCTATTTAGCTCAGTGAAAAGTATTAATAAACAAGCATAGGTTTGAGCTATTAGAATGCAATCTAGTCAGCTGTCACCAGAATCAATGAGATTTGGGACCACTTTTTTGTAACTGTATGGCTACCCCTGGAAAATATTTTGCATAACAAATATGTTATACATCTGCTGCTGCAATCAAATTGTGCCATAATATGTGAAGTCTTGATACTAGCACTGTAAGCTATGGGAGCCACTGATGTAGAATTTATGCAGTGCAAAGACATATTTGAAGCTCTCAAATCACTATTCCCTTGCACTGCAAAGATCATGAAATAGCAGTCACTGAAAATCTTTACATTAGTCCTTTACTTGGTCTTCCCACAGCTTTTGATAATTAGCTTTATTAAACTGCCTTACATATTAAAAAAAAACTTTCAGTATTTGCTTTCCTGCTTTCCTTCAGTGAAACATTTAAAGTTTTATCTGAGGTCTTTGAAAAGCTAAGGTAATTTTGACAGTGAGCTCATTAACAGAATGTTTACCTTGATGTTTCCTTGAAGACAGTGTTCTATATCTTTGCCAGAAGGATCATCCGTAAACAAAGCAAAACCTGACTGCGCTGGTTTCCTCATTCCTGTGTCTTGATTGAGTGTGTTCAGAAATTCTTCCACTGTGGTGGAAGCATCAAACCCAACAACCTCGATAGAGCAAATGAAACATGACATGAAATGAACTCCCACAAAATTTGAGCATTAGATTTTGAAGATGCTTGCTAAAAACATTGGTGCATACTGAATGTTGGATCATTGGCATCTTTAATTCATAGAAGGTGTATTTCATATGCAGAAGATTCCTTCTGTTAATAGAAAAGCATCTGTAGACAAAACCAGTCTTTTTTAAATAATGCTTTTTTAAAAAACGAGAGTAATTTATCCACTGAAAGGATGTCAAATAATTTGAATACAGGTACATATCACATCTAAGGAAAATAATGCAAGCACTTAAAAACATCATATCAATAGGTGCATACAGAGTTACAAAAAGAAGCAAACACACCAAGAACAGCAATCACTATGTTGTAAAAGTTCATCTGCCACCTCACTGAGATGATTTCTGGTGGACCTGCTACTGTGGGCAGAGCTGGATGCAATTAGTTCTGTAATGTGACCCCTGCCTTCACCCCTCAAAACAGTTTATGTATATTACATGTTGTTCTTGCAAATATCCAATTAATTTAGTTGCTTTAAGCTGGAAACATGATTGGAATTACAGGCAAAACTCCCTGGGGAAGACAACCATGCTCAGAAAGTTGAAGGCAGAAGGAAAGAAAGGAAGACTAAATAAGAGATGAACCAACTCCCTAAAGGAAGCCACAGCCTGGAATTTGCAAGAGCTGAGTAGGATGGACAGGACATTTTGGAGGGCATAGGGTTGCCATAAGTTGGACACAACTTGAGGACACAGCACCAAACCAAACCAAACCAAACCAAAAAAGTCTCTTTAGCAATGTAAAGGTGGGAAGAAACTAGGTACTTTCTATTGGCAAAAAAATAAAAAAAAATAAAATTGTGGCTATTTTTAGGTAGGTTTAGATATACTCTAATACAGGGGTCCTCAAACTTTTTCAGCAGGGGGCCGGTTGAAAGGTGCCGGTGCTGGCTGTGGGCCAGAAGGGTGGTGCTGGTGGTACACACAGGCCAGTGAGGGGGCGGGGGCAGTGTGTGCGGGCGCATACGCTGAGGTGGGGGTGGTGCACGTGGTGAGGCACGACAAGGGGAGGTGAGGCAGGCGCACGAGGCAGTGGCTTGCTCACTTGGAGATCGTTTTCTCCGAGTGATTAAACTGCTGCCTCCCTGCGCGAGGGTTAGGTGGGCAGTGGCGCGGGCTCGGGCGCAGAGGATCCAAATGGGCATGGTGGGCCAGATCCGGCCCCCGGGCCTTAGTTTGAGGACCCATGCTCTAATAAGAACAAGTGCTCCCAAGATATTAAAATTTTGGATATTTCAATGAATAGAATACATTTAAGCAGTTTGCATTTATTTATGTTTGCTTGGAAAAAATGTTTATTTGCATTTATTTGTTCTAAAAATCTGATCAAATATGAACATCTGTTATTGACATGGAAAAAATTAGAACCACACCCTCTAAATATTTGTGACACCTGGGCTACCACTCTGATATTGTCTGTTCACCAGGACAGTAACTTATTATACCTCATTTTATGCTTAAAGCCTACCTGGTATATGCCATTCATGAAATGCACTGGAATACTAAAGGGTAAGGAATGATGATAGGGATTTCTTAGAAGTGTGGAAAGAATTTCCATTCTCGATGGTCTGGCTTCTCTGTCACCATTCTGTTGTGTTCTTTCTACACAACGCTGACAGTAAATGGCATATTTCCCAAATTCGGTTCTGTGAACACAAAACAAGGGTTCATGGCATGAACTTGAAGGACTGTAGAGATTTTAACAGGTTATTTTAACATACATACATACATATATATATATATGAGACATTACAGTCTATTCTGATTTTTTTCTTTCCATCTTCCACAAAGAATGGGTACTTAAGGCAATTAAATGTTATTGGTTCATTAAAGAAAGCAATCTTACAGCTTTTAACATCTGATATTGCCAAAAGGTATACCTGGAATCTGCATTCTTTTTCAAATGAAGTTTGATGAACCAAAGGAATGGGTGCTGAGGAAGGAAGAGACCAATACAAAGTGCTAAAAGCTGCCAGGCCTGTTCAGAAAAGAAAAGTGGCATCATTGTCTAAACATACTTTTAGAATCAAATAGTTTTCAAGCACAAACAACCCTGTGACTATAGTGGGTACTGAGCAGCTAGAAATCCAAGTTTGATGAGAAGGCAAGCAACATTCTTATGCTGAAAGAGGTGAGATATGGGACAGAATGGAAGCCCTTGATTCAGAGGCAAGTGCAAGGGGAAAATTGAGATAAATTTACAAAACTAGTGTCAGGAGTGTGTTTTGCAATGTTGTATTACTAGTTATATTTTCTTTAAAACATTCTAGTTTATTTACATAGTTTGGATATCCTTTAAATGAAACCATGGATTACATATAATGGTCACCTACAGATATGAAAGTTGGCCTGCTTGTTCCTAATTTCCAAAAGTTCTTTAGTGTAGCAGCCTATTGGTGTTCGCTTTCAAAACACACACACACACACATGAAAATCCCTAACTAATATGAAGAAATTCTGAACTTTGAATAATATATACAAAACTTACAAGAAGTCATATTGGTCCTCAGAAAAAAACAGTAATTTTATTAAAACCAAATGAAATGTCACCAAATAATGACAAAGTAATTGACCTGCTTCATCATTTATAAAACTGGGATTGAGTACTAGGGCCTAGCACTGTTATGCTCATCTACTGCTTTAGTTTTGTTTCTGGCTTTTTATATATAAAGTCAGAGTTCCTTGTTATATCTGTGAATCTGACGCATGGAATTTGAGTGAAATATCAGCTAACCAACTTATTTAGTAATGTTAATAACCATAATAAAAAGTAAATTTCCAGCTGTATCAGTTGAACACAAATAGAAGTGTGCTGTGGAGTTTTCAGAGTCATTAATTGGATTGTAGAACTGACCACAGAACACATTAGCTTTTTCATTCTCAGTTTCAACTGTGGTAATATTAAGAGGTCCGCAACTATATGATTTTAGCCTTTGCAAAGTTACATGCATCCTTTGTCATGTTCCACACAGTGTATTTATAATGGAATTTGCACAATGCTAAGGAAATCAACCCTGACTTTAGGGTTAGGGTCAGATACTGAAGATGAAACTCAAATACTTTGACCACCTAATGAGAAAGAAGGACTCACTGGAGAAGTGTCTAATGCTGGGAATGACTGAAGGCAAAAGGAGAAGGGGACAACAGAGGTTGAGATGGCTAGATGGGGTCACTGGGGTGGTTGGTGTGGGCTTGGGTGGACTCCAGGGGATGGTGGAGGACAGGAGAGCCTGAAAGGATGTTGTCCATGGGGTCGTGATGAGTTGGGCATGACTTTGCAACTAAACAAACAGAAAACCCCCCCACAAACACTGGATCTCACATATGGCATTCTTCAATTAACACTAAAACATTTAGAGAACAGATGGTATTTAGGATTATCATTCTTATGGCTTTCCTGTGTTTGAGATTGTGAATGTTATATAGAGGTATTGTTTTAATATTCATTAACTATTGTCCAGACATTAATATTTCCACATTGTTGTTGTTGTTAGTTGCGAAGTTGTGTCTGACCCATCGCGACCCCATGGACAACATTCCTCCAGGCCTTCTTGTCCTCCACCATCCCCCAGAGTCCACTTAAGCTCACGCCGACTGCTTCAGTGAGTCCATCTAGCCACCTCATACTCTGCTGTCCCCTTCTTCTTTTGCCATCTATTGTTCCCAGCATTAGGCTCTTCTCCAGTGAGTCCTTCCTTCTCATTAGGTGGCCAAAGTATTTGAGTTTCATCTTCAGTATCTGGCCTTCTAAAGAGCAGTAGATCCCCGGTCCTATTTCCACATAGGAGGTAATAAACTGAAACAGAGTAAGGATAGTACATTGCACATTCTTTCATTTCAAGCATCATTTTGTGGCTTCAACACTTCTCCTTTTCTTTTCTTCTTGAAAATCAATGGGACTTAAGCCCTATATCTCTGCCTTTTTATTATGGCTGTTCACTGTACTCTTCTGATAGCACTGATAGATGCCTCTTCTGATTTCCCACAGTACATACATTCTCTTCTGATTTTCCATAGTACGTACTATGGAATGCCACCCTTGGCTGCATAGCCAGAAGTGTGGCTTCTAGATCGAGAGAGGTATTACTACCACTCTATACAACTCTGGTGTGTACAGGAAGGATATAGCCAGATTAGAGTCAGTGCAGCGTAGGGCCATAAGGTTGGTGGCCAGTTTGCAGGGGATGCCGTATGAAGCAAGAATGAGGGAACTGGGTCTCTTCAGCCTGGAGAAGAGAAGACTCAGAGGGGATATGTTGGTGACATACAGGTATGTGAGGGGATGTCACACTGAGGTGGGTAGAGAACTGTTCTCCTCTGCAGAGGAAGGCAGGATGAACTCCAACGGAGCAAAGCTCAGGGAACCAAGGTTCCATTTAGATGCCAGGAAGCAATTCCTGACAGTTAGGACCCCAAGGGTATGGAATAGGCTTCCATGGGAGGTGGTTGAGGCCCCATCGGTGAGGGTGTTCAAAGATAGGCTAGACATGCACATGGTGGGCATGTTGTGAGTGAAGCCAGGAGTCAGACTAGATGGCCCAGGAGGCCCCTTCTGACTCGCTCTGTTTCTATGTTTCTATGTACTACTATGGTGCTAGAAATGTATTAAAAGAGTTGACCAGTCAGTCCCTCAATGCAGGTATTACAGATGCAGTGCCCGTAAGTGTTCAGTACCTGAACAGGTCCTATCTGATTAGGTGGCTGCCGTCTTCTTGTCTGCTTAACTAACTGGCAACAGATTTCATTCTGAAGTTCTGGATGTGTGAGACAGACTTGCAAAGCACTTTGGGCCAAAGAAACATGATAGTCAATGGCAGGAGAGTCCACTGCAGCATTTATAAACAACTGGCAAGTCTGCAAAAATAGTAATTAATAACAAATTAAATTATATTTTGCACTTTAAGTTTCAATAAAGTTAGAAACCAATACACTTCTAACAACAACACTTGTAAGAACAAAATCTTATTCACTTTAGAGGAGGAGTAGCCTCTACATAGATCAGGAACACTGACAGGGTGCAGTCAGTTCTTTGACCTTGTATACTCTGGTAGCTGGGAGCTCATGGCAGATCCCCGTTGTCCCCTTCAGAGATTATTTCACAAAGCGCCTTCAGAGTAAGAGGTAGGACAACAAAGACTCCTCCACTAGCTCAGCTGGGATCAACTGTCAATTAGGTCTCCTCCTGCCAGAATTTCTGGAACATAGGAAGCTACCTTATATCAGGTCAGACTATTATTCATCTATCTCAGTATTTTCTACTGTGACTGGCAGTTGCCTTCTAGGGCATGTTTGAGGTCTGTCATGTTGTCTGCTACCTGAGTTTTTCACTGAAAGTGCTTGCAATTGAATCTGGAATCTCCTGAATGCAAAGCATATGCTCTATCATGGAGCTTCGCTACTTCTCATAAAAGTCCCCTCCATAAACCTCATGCAGTTCTGTGAGTGAATGTGAATATATATAACATATGAGGGGGACCCAAAAAAACCCAGGAATTATCTTCTGGAGAGTGGGCCCCTTGTAGTACAGGATTTCCCCACTAGGTGAATGTTCTAGGAACCCATCAGGGTACCCAGTGCATCAGTGTACCCAGCTGGGTTGTTGTGAGAGGCTGCGTTCAGCTTCAGTGAGGTTTTTTTGGAGACTCTTTCAACATGTTTGCCTATTTTGTGATGGCTGATTTACACAAACAGCATGCAGAGGTGAAACTTTGTTCAGCTGAGTATTCGGCAGTTTTAGACCAAAAAAGGCATGACCCTTGAGCCCCCCCCCCCACTATTCACCCGATCTCGCTCCATGTGACTTTTTTTTGTTTCTCCAGATGAAGAGAGTCCTTGAAGGGAAATGTTTTGCCCGTGTGGAAGAGATGAAACAAACAGCAGAAGCACTAAAAGGCATCAAAATCAGTAAGTTCAGATCCTGTTTTGAACAGTGGAAAAACCATCTTGATAGGTGTATTGCATCAAATGGAGAGTACTTTGAAGGTAACTGAAGTTTGAACATGTAAAAATAAATACACAATTTTTTCATAAATAAATTTCTGGGTTGTTTGCCCTCCCACCTCATATATACCTAGCTGAGCCCTTAGATCATTTTTAGCCATACTTTCTTGGGAGTCCCCACCAAAGGAAGTGAGGTAGGTGGCTACTTTCTGTAGTAGCTACTTTCTGTAGAATTTCCACTCATTCAGTTGTGGAATGAGCGGAAAGTTCCCAGGCAGGCCCCTCTGGTGCCTACATTGTGTTCTTTCTGGCATTAGATGAATATGGTATTTTCCCAGGTATGTTGGTTTTTAAATTTGTGTTGTTTTAACTCCACTACTGCATTTTAAACATTTGAACTGCTGCTACATTTCATTTTTGTATTATTTTATATGGTAGTTTTAGATTTTCTGTTGTGTTTTATGGTTTTAATTGTTGTGAATACCTAGAAAACCTTGGTTATTAGGGCGTACAGAAATGGAATAAATGAATACACTTCATGAAAGAAATGGTACCCATGAATTTGCTTATTTTCCTCTTTCTGACAGTAAGTGGGATCACTAAACATGCAAATGTCAAGGAAGAGATGAGGTGGGCTGGTAGACATAGGCAAATTAAAGACAAATAACAAAAATATGCAAATGTCATAGCAGAGCGGTAAAACTGAGAGGGAAATTACATAAAAATACCTAGCAGTGGCCATTCATTCCTGCATGTTGGTGCAAGACAGAAAATAATTTGAAAAACTGGAACCTCATTTAGGACTCTCTGCTGTCCCAAATGCAAAATTTCTCAGGACTTCTATTAAAAAGTATAAATCCATCCTAAGGCAAAGGGTGCCATGATGGGACTTTAATGGCAGTGGGACTAGTGAAATTGTGACAAGTGTCAGGGTGTTTTATTTATTTTTGCCACTTTTGCTTGGACAGCTCTGTAGCTGTTCCCAGTAACCCTGCCACCTTACAACATCAAATGTCCTGCCACCCTAAACAACTGTATTGCACATCATGGATTCTCATGGTTGCTTGTTGCAAAAATCAATCTTCACTGGAAAACTGACTCTAGGTTTGGATGCCAAGTAGGCCACCACGGAACAACCCACCCTGGCTTAGCATAAAGTATGAACTAGATCTATTTTTTGTTTAAATAAGTTACTTTATATTTCTTTTTGGATACCCTTTAAGATTTCAAGACAGATTGGGCTATAGTAAATTAAACTAATTAGCTTATAATGTTAGTTCCAGAAATAATGTATATGTTCACTGAAGCTGACTTGTGGAAAGTGATGTGTGGGAAGTTTCTGCTTTTATCTTTTCCATAAACTATCCAACCTGTTGGATAGTTTATGGAAAAATGTTAGTTTCTCAAACTGTCATTCCTTACCAGGAAACAAAAACAACCTGCAGACCTTGCTTTCTTGAGGTTTATTTTCACTACTGAAGAACTATGTATTAGCTAGGTTTGGAATGCATATTTCTTCACTAGTTTGGATTTTCATGGAAAAGACTAGCAGAAGCAAGGGTGCATGTTGATCCCTGCCTGCTTGCCTGGCCCTGATGAAATAATCCAGGAATGCTCCTTTCCTGGGTTGCTTCTCCATGCTGAAAATCATGAAACTCTGGATTATTTGGAAACAGACAACCCATAATTGGAACCCACTGGAATAGTTACTATGAACAAAGCAACAATTGGCAAACAACAACAGCCACTCCATGGAACTTTATGTAATGAGGGCTACAGTTCTATGTCTACATTAATATGCCCAGTTTAACTTAATGGGATATACTGTTGAGTAGAGATGAACAGAGAAATTATGCTCTAATTCTAAACTATCTGAAGTACAACTTATTAAAGCGGGGGAATCATTTCCAAAGAAAGAATTAACAAAGAAAAAACACAAAATGCTTTACCTTAAATAATTTTATAGCTTCTGTTTGTAAAGCCTCAGATGGGAGGGTTGTAAGAGGAGATGTAATCCCACCTTTGCTGTGGCAGAGAGTAGGATGTCTCCAAATTTGAGAAGCTGGAAGGAAAAAAAAGAACATCATTTATCTGAAGTAATGTCAGTATAACTAAAACAAAAAAAGTGTGACTGCTGAAGCTACTCAAGATTTCTGGAAACTGTAAACAAGTACTTTAAAGTTAGCACAAAAGGTAATAGGAAACCAACACTTCCTATAATGGACCACAAAATTATTATGTCCCAATGCTCAGTTCCAGAGTTCCCCAACTTGATGCCCTCCAGAAAGTTTGGGCTACAACCTCCATTATTCCTGACACTCATGTTGAATGGTCAATAGATTACTATATCTGGAGGGCATGAGGTTGGGAGGCGGTCCTCTTCCATCAAAAGGTAAAGCACAGCTTTTAGAATTTTTGCAGTAATTTTATTCCTGTAACATTCCATTTTAATGACACTGAAGGGAAATCCCTTTTTAAACATGAAACAAGTAAATACAAAAGGAGAAAAGAACACTTTGATTATCCGATAAGTGAGTACTGGCATAGATAAGAAGCTCTGAAAAGGATATATTTCATAGAATCTGAGATATATAGATTTTACACCAATATTTGCACAAAGGGTCCAGCAGGATCATTAAATATGTTGTTGCTAAATCAATTAATTTCATGTTTTCCAATGTACTTTCTTATAGCATTATTATGTGTGTAATTATTAAAATATGTGTAACAATGTAAAAATTACTATTATAGGAAATGATAAATAATGCCTCCTAAATGCTATTTATTTTTGGAGTGGCAAAAGCCCAAATAAAGTGCATGCTCATTATCTGGAATATTCAAGAACAGGAGGCTTCAGTGGGTACTGTTCTAAAGTTCCACAGGCATAACGATCACTGTCTTTTTGAGAAATGTTAATATGCTCCTGCTGCACTCCCATCTAGTAAAATCATGATGCTACTGACAATGTCAAGAGTTTAAAGCTTTGATGACTTAATTGGGCCACAGATTTTCTATCACATTTGTGACAGGTATGGTAAAATGCATTTTTAAATAAAGCCAAATAGGGATATGTGCAAACTAAAACAAAGTCTAACATCTATCAAGTTTTCATTGAGAAGGACTAGCCTACTGCTCCTGAGGTCACCCTAAACAAGCAAGAGCTATCCTGGGCACTGAGAGTTTTGAAGTGTTTCTGCAGAGATGCCCAGAAGGGCCTGATCCTGTGCACACATATATGAACAATTTAAGACTAAATGATTGAATTTATGCTTAAACTAACCATGTGCTGTGGCAGCGAATGCTGTGTAATAAGTTAATGAATGGTGGTAGAACATTGAAGGCAATGGACAAATTGGAACACAGGACTTAAGTAGACAGATTCTTTTTATACAGTGGACCAAAGGTATCCTAACTTGGGTTGCTCCTCCCAAGTGCTCCAAAAGTAAGTATGCCCCGCCCAAGAAGTCACTTTCTCTCGATGAGGCATCATTTCCCAGTTCTGGAAATTAAATGGTTCATAGGGCGAAAATATTCCGATCCATACTTGAAGTCCTGAACTGAAGGAATATGGTACAGAACACCTGAGGATGGAGGCATCATTCCCCTTGACTGACATCCTGTCAACTCAACTAGTTTGCTTTTATATTTAACTGACCCATGAAGATGTTTCCCTATAGAAGTTGATAGCTTGTTCCCTTAAACAACACCCTTGAATACGGTACAGCCAGCTAGACCACCTGAAGTTCTAGCCAATTTCTACTGTGAGTAAATTTTCAGCACTTCTATTGCTGGTTTAATTTCTTTAACTAAAATTTGGCAAATCCAGCAATAAAATTCAGCATGAACACCAAGCTTTCTATCACAAGACAAAGCTAAGGGAGCTACAGCACTTACCAAAGGGAAACCAAGTCCTGCACTTTATAAACCCTGATGAGAGAACTAAACAACTGGGCAAATCTCTTCCACTATAGGAAACCTTAACTCACGTTTCAACTATTCTGGGACTTGAAAGTGTCCTTCAAAGCATCAGAGCTTTCATCACCTGTATGGGCAGTCTTCATTCCTGAAGGACCAGGCATCTGGGAGATGCTCCCCTAGTTGTACTTTTCCCAATCCTCTGTCAATAATTCTGAGACACCAAAAGACAGAGTGGGATTGCCTCTGTCTTGGGGATTGCATGACCAGATTGATACCAGGAAGCTCCCCAGACAAAAGGCAAAATAAAATAAAGAAGGTCAGATCATGTATAAAAGAGTTTGCAGGTGGAACTCTCCTGACACCCTGCTTTGCAGAACTAGGCAGGCTCCAACCTCAGAGGTACCTTTCAACATAGGGAAAAAGAATTCCTTCCAGTGAAAAATTGGCCATGCCCCCTGGAGCGAGTGGGAGGAGCTACTCAGACTAGGATACCTCCATTCACTTTAGGAAACCAATCAGATTTTAAAAATGGCTTGGCTGCAGTACACCATCATTTTCATGACTCTCAAAACTGAGAAAAATGCTGAGAAAATTATGTTGCCACCAAGTATTGGCTGTAGTATGGTAGTTCACACTGATGTTTCCTCATGTAGTAGACAAGGATTTAATAGTGGCTCTGAATAAACAAGAAAAATCTGTATCTGTGATTATTTTAAAGCAAGCCTAGAATGGCATTTAATTAGGCTCTTTGAATACAACTGAAAACATGCCACGCTTAGGGTAAGTATATATTTAGATAAATATCAATTAGTATTTTGCAATAAAACTTACTGGGTTCCCCTTCAATATTTAATAATTTGCAGACAAGCTGTTCAAACTCTGTCCCAACACTTATATTTGGGCTTCCAGCAGCAACTGTCAGATGATAGAGCCAAGTGTCCTAAGATATATAACATTGTATAAGTGTATTTTACTTTTTATTAATTGATAGAAACAAATAAACTTAAACAAAACTAGCTGAAACACTTGTGGATCAATGTACTTCTAAAGACATGTTCAATTTTTTAAAAGTTTAAAAATATATTTTATATCCTGTTTAAAATAAACATAAAAAGACCTGCTTGTTGGACAACTCAAACCCAAGCATATTGCTAGAGATAATGAAAGCAAAACATGAATGACAGAAAACATACTGACCTAGTTTGTATGATCAATGTAGAGTAAACAAGCCGCAGTGGGATGTGCTCTTCAGCACAGGGAAGTGGCTTGTTTAAATTACAGAGTTCACTGCAAGCCACTTGCCAACCATCTGCCCAGGTAAAGCTGGTTGTGTCATCTGAACCTGGGTAGCATGGACTGTCAGAATGAGAAACAACCCTCAAATAATGCAACAACCCATGGGTTATTTAATAGTGGTTTTTCCTTCCAACAAGCCATGACATTGAGGTTTGGAAGATAATGACCTGCACCTGCCCAGGTGAACAGGCAAATGGTACCCAACATATGCAGCAGCTTAAACAAGCTATCACAGTTTGTTTAACCCATGGTGATCATGCGAACTGTGTGAAATAGCCTAACCTCTGGCAGGTGTGTTTGTGTATGTGAGAGCAAAGTATCAAAAAAAAAAGGAGTAAATTTGTATTAGTTTGTGGAGCATGGATCTAAGCAGTACCTAATGGCAAGTGACCTGTAGAAAACAGGAACCAAACATTTCACATTGCAGATACACAGCCCTAGAAACTCATTGCTTAGTAATCAACATTATCACCCAATTCCTGCCATATGTATCTATCCCAAAGGTTAACCAACAACTCAATCAAATTCTTAAAACTGATGAAACTCACTTAAAATAATTTTAACCTCTCTCCAGTTATTATATTCTATTTAAATACTAAACCAAGAATGAACCTAACTTCCTACTCCTTTCCTCTTCCCTGTGGCTGCAGGGAGATTGAAAGCTTCTGCTTTAGAGCCGTTGCAATTTAATGTGCTATCTAAGCCATAAACTTGGTTTATCTTAACTGTGGTTAATTGAAACAATTCATCTTCATAAACTATGGTTTCAACTAGCCATGCTTAAGCTTAGCCTAGGTTCAGACAACAATGCTATATTGGAGTTAATCTAAAATGGAAGCAAACATTTCTGAATCCTTGCAGAGGAGGAAGGGGGCAGCACACAAGCTCAAGGCTCACTATGACTAATCCTTGAAATGTTGAACTGCACTTTAGTGTCACATCTAAAGAAGTCCAGTGCTACTTAGTTTCCCATTCCATATATATACTTCTCAGTTTGTTGCATTGAACTGACTACAGCTGTGTTGTAAAAACATTGCCACCTTTTCATGTTTGGATCCTATAAGAAGATAGGTAGGACCTTGTTCTTTAGGATGGATAACAATGGTATAATGTGTTGATAACAGGCTACGACCACTGGCCTCATAATCTTCATCTGAATCACAGGACCGATCAACTTCTTCAACTTTAGCCTCCCAAAGCTTGATTTGGCCCAAAGGAAACTAGAAGTAAATAGCCAAGGTTAAAGAGGAAGCATACATGTTAGTTGGCATTAGGAAAAACTGACCAAAAACCATTTTAATTTTTAGAAAGAAAGCTGGATGATCATGACTTCAGCTCAAACTAATTTTCAAATAAATGTGGTCACAAGCTTGTTATGTTTGCTACCTTTGATAATGTGGCTGACTGCAATGCACATATGTCTAAGTAATTTTCAAATGATTTCTGAACCAAGTCTGCTGAACACAGTGCAACAGCTGTTCTAAGAACTGTGGCTTAAACCAAGATAAGGAATGGGAATTAAGGGCATAGCTAGACAGTAAAGGAGATGCATGGCTACCACCAAAATAGCAGCACACAATTGGTAAAACAAAACGCATTATGTGACATCAGCATGCTCTTTTTTCCTTTCCCTGGTCTGTTTCAGCCACCTCAGTAGAATGTGGACAGTTAAACTTAGAATGCAATGATGCAAGTTCACATTTTATTTTACCATATGCTATCAGTAAGTGAAGAGACAGGGGCATTGCGTTGCTGCATCCCAAAACACCAACCCACATCTCCTATAATCAAATTCCACCCTTAGAATCCCTTTATTAGCTCTGTCCTTTTTGTTTAATAACAAAAGTCAGAAATGCAGCATTCAAAAACAACAGATCATGGAATGAGATATGGATTGTACCAACTCCCTACATGTTTTGAGTGTCAGTTCAATTCTAATTCCTCCAGAGGCCAAAACAACATACCTTATCTTCTTGGCTGCGAAAATAATACAAAGTTTTCCCAACCAGCATACACCATACTCTCTTGGAATATCCATGTTTCACCTACAAGTGAAAAATTAAAGAATGACTAGTTTGTACATAGTTGGAAACAAAGGGAAAGACTATATTTAGGAATCAGAAAACTAAATTCAAGAAACTAAATTGGTAACTAAATTCTTTATTATTATGCTTCAATATCAACAAAATTATACTCTTCAACCCACTTTACTGGATTTCTGTAAGTTACACTGAAATCAGAGAGAAAAGAATAGGTAGATAATCAAGCAGCTAAGATATCTTTATAGTTGAAGATCAACTGGATAACCAGTTGGTACATTTAGGTCTTACTAAAAAGAAGCCAAATCCTCCCCTTGACCCACTTGTTTCCACCTCCTTCTCTTCTTCCTTTGTGGCCATGAACAAACATAATGTAGGATGTCATCCAAATCCTGAACTGTGGTTCATATTAATTACCATTAATTGAAACAAGTGATCTTCATAAACCATGGTTTGAATTTGGCTCTTTCCATTATACTGTAGTTAAAATTACACTCAGTTTGTCTGGGGTTGAATGATACAGCAAGCTATAGTTAATCTAAAAAGGAAGCAAAGGCTTCCAAACTTCTCCTTATAGCTGAACCACAAGAGGGAAGACCCCACAAGCCTGGTAGGAAGCTAGGCATCACCTTGCCCTGAATGTAGATTGAATGAATTGATTGATAAAAATGTGCTTTATATTACAAAATAGGCAGAACTTAAATATGCCAAGTTTAATTATTATTCAGAAAGTTAACTTAGTTACTGATGCATTATATTCGCAGCATGAGATACAGCTCAATATGGAACTGGCTAAAAAGTTTATATTTCAGAAATAATAGTCATACAAAACCAAACTGTTTTTGAAAGAATAGAGTGTGTTTCAATTGGCTGTAAGTTTGGGTGTTCTAGCACCATTTAGCATAATAGAGGAAGGTCTCAAATGGGCTGAGAAAAAGAAAAAAAGTGACTGAATTTCTTCCTTCACTGCAGTGTTTGAACCATACTATGTGTTTCCTGTCCCAGTTTAACTGGAACTTGAAACAGGAAACCTGTTGGAACAATGATGGAGAACTCCAACAGTATGGCTAATGGTCATGGATAATGGAGGTAGTGGTCCAACATCTGGAAGGCCAGGGGTTTCCTATTCTGTCTTAGGGCCTTGAGATACATTGCAACAATTTTTGCAAGTCTCTGTCTGTGTTAGAAATTTCCATCTGTAAATAACATGACAAAATAATCACTGATAGATCTATCCAGCTTAAGTTTGTTGAATCAACTGTCATTTTAGCTAGCAGCCACCATATCTTGTGATAAAAATTAGTTGCATAAACAATTATTTGTTGCATAAAAATGCTTATTTCTACTGAACCTACTACCAGTCATTTTCACTGAGCCACCCAAAGCTCCAATATTTTTGAAAGAATATAAACTTTATTATCAATACTTTCTACCATGTCCACATCACCCTCCACTTCTTTAGCCCTGTCTCACATAGAAAGTGAGCCAATTCCCTAATAATTTGAGCTTGCATTTTCTACACTCTCTCCAGCTATAGGATATCTGTTTTGAGAATGAACAAGGAAAAATATATAGGTTTGTAATGATATATTTACATTTTCATAGTGGCATTGACATTATACTTGCTGCTTTATTGCCAAATATGTCCTAGTAATTTCTACTGTTACATTCTTTTCTTTAAATCAAGCATTTCTTCCCTTTGCTTTCTGTTTTTAACCAGCTGCCACCTGATCAAGAACTTCTCCACTTATCCTATGAGAGTTAGTTTTTAATAGTGGACCTTGAGAAGGAAATGCATTGAAGGGTTTTTGAAACATCAAATATATAATAGATGCTGAATCACTCTTGACTACAGAGAATTCTAAAACATATGTGAGTTCCTCAAAAAGGGTTTTTTTTCCCTTATATATGCTTAAAATGTGCACAGGACATGTAATTTCCAATGAACTGAGCCAGAATTCACAGGACAAAACACATCCCATGCACCCTTGTAGAAAACCCTACAGGGCCTTTGCTGTGTACAGCAATCCCTCCATTAGCAAGAGGAAGTTTGAGGGATGGTCATGGAAGTGCCAAACTAGTAAAAGGCAGGCCCAGATTCACTGAAGAATTCATATTCTCAAACCCTCTTTTTTCAAGGTCTGTAAACTATTAAAATAAACCTGAAACTTGATGCTAATTTTAACATCCACCATTGTCTCTAACTTTATCCCTTAAGACAGAATAGCTAATTTACAAAAATAAACACAGGATATATAAAAACAAAGTAGCAAAGTATGGATTTCTACCTTTGTAAGCAAGCCTTTCATGGCTGGTTTGACATCTGGTTGAATGAAAAGTGAACTTGCAGCCTGAACTTTAAGGACATTCTGCAGTACTTTGATCCATTCTTCTAAAATATTTGGGGAATCAGCAGTCAAGTAATAAGTTCGTTTTTCAGTAGTTAACTGCAAAGTGATAGAAGACATAACACTGAATTGTGGCAATATATATCCTCCTCCTGGTACTTATAGTGATGCATGTAAAAATACAGTCTAAGGTTAAGCTCGTTTCACCTGTAGTGAATAGGAAAGCTGTTCAGTATTTCCACTGAACAAACAACTTTGGCTACTGTAAAGTATAGAATTGAGAGCTATCACTACATCTTATGAAAATGAATTCCATAGTTCAGCTGGGTGTTGTGTGAAGAAGTACTTATTTTTATTGATCCTGAATATCCCACCAATCAACTTCATGGAATGATTCTGGGCTCTAGCATTATGAGAGAGGAAGAAAAATGACCATACATAATTTTATAGAACCCTGTCATGTTTTCTAAGCTAAACAACCCCAGGTGTTGTAACCCTTTTTCACAGGGCAGTAGCTCCAGGTCCTTGATTATTATACTTGCTTTCTCCACAGCTTTCCCAGCTCTACAAATCCCATTTAAGATGTGGTGACCAGAATTGTACACAGCATTCCAAATGTGGTCACATTTAAGGTAAATATAAGAGGAGTATGATACTGGCAGTTTTATTTATTTATTTATTTAGTGGACTTATATGCCGCCCCATTCACCTAAGCCTCGGGGTGGCTTACAAATATTAATTGTTTAATAATTAATTAATTGTATTAATTTATTAATACAATAAAATACAATTGGAGACATCCTGGCCAAAGTTGTTTTCCATTTCTTTCCTAATTGCACCTAACTTCTACATGAAACCGCTGGGAGAGGTCATCAGGAGGTGTGGGCTGCGCTAATGATACCCAGCTCTACCTCTCTTTTTCAACAAATCCAGGTGAGGCAGTGGCTGTCCTGAACCGGTGCCTGGCTGAGGTAATGGGCTGGATGAGGGCCAATAAACTGAAGCTCAATCCAGACAAGACAGAGGTCCTGTTGGTGGGTGGTTCGGGCTCCAGGGTAGGTGATTTGGACCTTGTCCTGAAAGGGGTTGCACTCCCTCTAAAAGACAGGGTCCGCAGCTTGGAAGTGCTCCTCGACCTGGAGCTGTCTTTGGAAGCTCAAGTGACTGCGGTGGCAAGGAGCGCTTTCCTTCAGTTTCGGCTGATCCATCAGCTGCGTCCCTACCTGGAGAATGATTGCCTGGCGACAGTGACACATGCATTGGTTACTTCCTGATTGGACTTCTGTAACGCGCTCTACGTGGGGCTGCCCTTGAAGACAGTCCGGATACTTCAGATGGTGCAAAATAGAGCAGCCAGGTTGTTGACAGGGACTGGGTGTTATTCTCATATAACCCCAGTCCTCCACCAGCTTCACTGGCTCCCCATTGAAGTCCAGGCTCAAGTCAAGGTGCTGGTTATCACCCACAAAGCCCTTAAAGGCTTGGGACCTGGATATCTAAAGGAATGCCTGCTTTCTTATTTGCCCTCCCGCACCTTGAGATCAGCGGCAGAGGCCCTCCTCCGGGAACCCTCCGTGAAAGATATTAAGAGGGTGAGTACCTGGAGGAGGGCTTTCTCTGTGGTGGTGCCACACTTATGGAATGTGCTTCCAAGAGGGTCCACCTGGCGCCATCGTTTTCGGCCATTTGCTTTTCGGCGCCAGGCCAAGACCTTTTTATTTAAATGATATTTTAATAATTGTTAATATTATTTATTGGTTTTAAAATTTTAGCCAGGATGAATCCAGATTTTATATGTACTTATCTGATTGTTTATTTATGATGTTGGAAGCCATCCCGAAGCTTATGCAAATGGCTTATGCATATGCATAATGGCTTATGCATACAAAAATTCCAAATAAATAAATAAATAAATAAATAACTTGGAGTTTGCTGTTTTCATAGCAGCCCCACACCGCATTGACATTTTCATCAAGATGTTCACCACAGCCCCAAGATCTCTTTCTTGGTCAGTCTTGCTAGCTCAGTTTATACCTAAAGTTGGAATTTTTTAGCCCAAAGTGGATCACCATGAGTGTGGTGGATGAAAATCAGCACATTTACTTTCTTCCATGTGCACACAACCAACCTATGGTTAACAAATAAAACAGTGTAATTAAGATCTGGGGTCCATCTCTAACTGCTAGCTCTGAGAGAGGCTTAGTAGATGGCAACAAGGAGTAGGGTTTTCTCAGTGATGTTCCCCCACAGTTATGAAACAAAGTCCTCACTGAGGCCTGCCTCATAACAACTTTAATAACCTTTTGGCACCAGGTTAGGACTGCCCCCGACAAAAAGGAATTTTATTAGTTTTATGTTATATGAAGGTATTATATCAACTGCTTGTGATTTCAATTAGTGCAAGTTATTGTAGCTTTCTAAAATTTGGTTTAAATTTGGCTTTTATGTTATTGTATTTTTATGAAGTTTTTATTGTTCTTTTATATCTTAGATTGTATTTCATTGTATTTTATCTGCTGCTGTAAGCCGCCCAGAGAGCTTCAGCTATTGGGCATTATAGAAACACAACTTAATAACAATAATAATATCATCATCATCATTTGCCTTTTTATACAAACTGGACTTCTTCACTATAGTTGAAGGTAATGGACCAGGTTTGCAGAAGAGGGACAGTCATTGTCCATCCACTGTTACAATATTCCATAAGTTACTTTACAGAGGAATGATTTGAAGAAAAGACTTTGGATCTTTGCTTCCCTTCCATTTTATTGTCTATCAAATTTGAAATCTTGAACTGATAACTAAAATAGTGAGCAGACCTCAATCAATTAATCATAGTAATAGTTTAAATCAACATGATCACAGAAAATGTATGAGTTCTATTCTAACTGAGTAATAGGAGTAAAAATACATTATCCATATCAAGTGCTTCTTCTGAAATTAAAAGAAGTGCCACCACTTCTTTCTGGCATGGATAAACAAAACCATCTTCATTCAAATATAATTAGCAGGGAGGTACCTGAACTGTTTGTTTCCCATCACCTCTTACAATGCGACTGGATGCACTTAATTCAATTTGGCCTTGGGGTTTTCGTATTACATCACTCTGTAGCAGAAAAATGAGACAAAGGATTATTCACTTACAGTACTGTGAATCATTAGCAGTTACACATTTAGGATTTGATTATCCAAGAGATGACACACCAGTTTTTATCACCCCATACATCCAGTGGGTTATAGCTAATGAATAACCTTAGATGACCCAGCATTTAGAAACAGCTAATTCAATATAGTTGAGTAATGTATGAGAGCGAGAGAGAATGAGAGAGAGGTGTGTAAACACACACTCACACGGAATGTTAAAAGTTCATGCATAAGATGCTGAGGTACAATTACCAAAACGTAGGGCTCCCAGTCCTAGTCTGACATACTGACTACCTATGGCACACTGGCTCTCTCTAAGGTAACAAGAAAAACGTACAAAGAAAATAAAAAATACATATTTAGACAAGTATAGTATAATAGTTCTGTATACACCTCATTTCTCTGAAGGGTACTTAGCCCGGAGACTACTACTAGTTCCCATCAGAACATGATAGGGAGAGCATGTAACACTGGTATTGCAACATGCTTTATTTATAAATGCACCAACAGAGTCTAGTGAGAGCAAGCAGTTTTCTAAAAAAGAATTCTAAGGATACATCCAATCTTGCTAAAAAGTCTTAGTGTACCCTGCCTCTGTCAAAAAACTTCCTGGCTCTTCCATAGCTGATGGGTGTTGCCTTCTAAAGGAAATGCAAAGTAATTTCCAGTTATCAAAGTACATTAATATTCTTACATTGGGTGACCAGCCAAGCAATAGTTGCCCAGTGATGAGAAAATTCACAATAATCAACAAAGTCAAACTCATAACCATACTATACAGTAAAAGACAACTCTTGCTTACCGGTGATTTGTAGTAAAGTAATTCACCACCTTTGAGTACAAACCACCTCCGTTTCCAAGTCTTTACTTTGCCTCCCATTTTTAACAAATATCCAGATTTTTCCAGTGGCTCCTATAATTTAAAACAGTTTTAAACACTGTTAAAGGGGATTTATCTCCCATAGATCTGGAGACCTGCAATACTACAGTTTGTTTATTTATTTATTTATTTATTTATTTATTTGAACGTTTCTATGCCGCCCCTTGTCGAAGCCTCAGGGCAGCTTACAACACAATAAAATACAATAAAATACAAAAATAACAATATAAAATTAAAATTAACAATATAAAATAAATAAAAAATATAAAAGCTATAAAAGACGTTATAAAAGAAGTCGCCCTGGCCAGATAAATAAGCAAATATTGTTAACAATTAAAATGACGTTTAAATAAAAAGGTCTTCCCCTGGCGCCGAAAAACAAATAACGACGGCGCCAGGTGGACCTCTCTGGGGAGCTCATTCCATAGGTGGGGTGCCACCGCAGAGAAAGCCCTCCTCCGAGTACCTACCCTCCTAATTTCTTTCACGGAGGGTTCCCGGAGAAGGGCCTCTGCCGCTGATCTCAAGGGGTAGGAGGGCAAATAAGGAAGCAGGCGTTCCTTTAAGTATCCAGGCCCCAAGCTGTTAAGGGCTTTGTAGGTCATAACCAACATCTTGAATTGGGCCCGGACTTCAATGGGAAGCCAGTGAAGCTGACGGAGGACTGGAGTCATGTGAACATAACGCCCCGTCCCCGTCAGCAACCTGGCAGCTCTATTTTGAACCAGTTGAAGTATCCGGACCGTCTTCAAGGGAAGCCCCATGTAAAGCACGTTACAGAAGTCAAGCTGGGAAGTCACCAGCGCGTGTGTCACCGTCACCAGGCAGTCGTACTCCAGGTAGGGGCGCAGCTGATTAATCAGCCGAAGCTGAAGGAAAGCGCTCCTCGCCACCGCTGTCACCTGAGCTTCCAATGAAAGCTCCAGGTTGAGGAGTACTCCTAAGCTGCGGACCTTGTCCCTAAGAAGGAGTGCAACCCCATTCAGGACCAGGTCAAATCCACCCTCTCCGAAGCCCGATCCGCCAATCAACAGGACCTCGTCTTGTCTGGATTGAGCTTCAGTTTATTGGCTCTCATCCAGCCCATTACCTCGGCCAAGCACCGGTTCAGCACAGCCACTGCCTCACCTGGATTAGTGGAAAACGAGAGGTAGAGCTGGGTATCATCAGCGTACTGATGATTCTGCAGCCCACACCTCCTGATGACCTCTCCCAGCAGTTTCATATAGATGTTAAATAGCAAAGGGGACAAAATGGAGCCCTGTGGTACTCCATGGCATAGCTGCCATGGCGCAGAGCCATAGTACCCCAGCATCACCTTCTGGAACCGGCCGTTGAGATAGGAGCGGAACCACTGCAAAGCAGTGCCTCTGACCCCCAATCCCGCTAGCCTATCCAGAAGGATACCATGGTCGATGATATCGAAAGCCGCTGAGAGGTCCAGAAGAACCAACAGGGACGCACTCCCCCTGTCCTTCTCCCTGCACAAGTCATCGTACAGAGTGACCAAGGCAGATTCAGTACCGTACCTGGGTCTGAAGCCGGACTGAAATGGGTCCAGATAATCAGTTTCATCCAAGAGTGCTTGGAGTTGTCCCACCACCACCCGCTCTAACACCTTGCCCAGAAACGGGATGTTGGCCACTGGTCTATAATTAGTGGCCATCTCTGGATCCAGTGACGCTTTCTTCAGGACTGGTCGGACTACCGCCTCCTTTAAAGGGGCAGGCACCTGACCCTCCCTCAGAGAGGCGTTAACCACTTCCAAGATCCAGGTCCCAATCCCGTGCTTGGAATTATTTATTAACCAAGACGGGCAAGGGTCCAATAGGCAAGTGGTGGGACGTACTCGTCCAAGCACCTTGTCCACATCTTACATTTATCAGCAAGTTATATCAATGAGCTTGTGTGAGTTAGCAAGTCAAATCCATGGAAAGGCCTCACTGTCCAGAGTCCCTATCATACCATCTTGAAAATATAATTTGCTAGCACAAAAATAGCTGCATCTCCTCCTTTCTATTTGGCTGCTCCCTTATCTTCTCATCTTGCTTTCTCCTCAAAAACTGTGAAAACAAGTCTCCACTGGTCAGGAGGTGCATTTTTTGGTGGTGGAGGAAGAGAAACCGTTCCGATTAAACACATGTAACTGTGACCATGGGGCAACAGAGTTAGTGTCTCAAGATTTCTGCTGTCACTTGGCTCCATATTCACCCTACTATACAAAAATGCTAACTCAAAAATTGCTCTTTATCCCACAGCAAGGTGACCATCGGTTTAAAAACAAACAAACAAACAAAGTCAGCATCTACAGGTAAATTCCAATAGGAACCGCAAGGTGATCAAACCAGTCAGTCCTAGACGAGATCAACTCTGACTGGTCTTTAGAAGGCCAAAAACTGAAGATGAAACTCAAATACTTTGGCCACCTAATGAGAAGGAAGGACTCACTGGAGAAGAGCCTAATACTGAGAACAATAGATGGCAAAAGAAGAGGGGATGGCAGAGAATGGGGTGGCTAGATGGAGTCAGTGAAGCAGTTGGCAGTGAGCTTAGGTGGACTCCGGGGGATGGTGGAGGACAGGAAGGCCTGGAGGAATGTTGCCCATGAGGTCACAATGGGTCGGACATGACTTCATGACTAACAACAACAACAACAACAACAACAACAACAACAAGGAAGAGAGGGAGGGATGCTAGTGCCTGACCCTAACCCTAAGCTCTGGGGGGTGCTGGTAAATATAGCTCACTTGGAGCTTGTGAGGACAGGTCTGGTAATAAGGCAGAGAAACTTTGGTGAGGTACCTAATGCTGGTGAGAAGCTGACAAACAGGCCTGGGATGTTAGGTGTTGTTGATTCTTTCCTCACAGCCATACATAATTTTACACACATTTATTATGCCCCCTGTTACTCTTTTTTTTTTCTTAAATAAAAGCATCAAACTTCATAACTTTTCCTTGCATAAGCATTGCAACAGTCTCCTGATCATTTTGGTTCCATTTTCTGCACCTTTTCTAACTCTACAATGTCTTTGAGGTACAGTGATCAGTAGTGTACACAACATTCTAAGTGCTGTCACATCATAAATTAAAGGTATTACAACTTGCCGTATCATTACTGATCCCTACCATAAAATCCATATTTTTCACAGCTGCAACACAGGGTTGTCATTTCCACTGAGTTACCTGTGACAATCCAAGATCCTTTCCCTGGCCAGTCACTAACACCTCAAACCCCAACGTTTATCACTACACTTAAACCAAATTGCATTTGCCTTTTAAATGGTCATTGAGCCTCTTTGAACTTGTAAAAATCCCAGCTATTTGGTAAACTATTAACATATTTCTCCAACATACACAGAAGTTTTTTTAAAGGAAACTGGACAGCTCTGCAAATTTAACCTAGGGATAAGACATCAATGCACATAGCTAGCTCTACCTAGGTTCCACCTCTGCCACACCTCTTTCAACAACAAAAAATTGCCAAACAGCCTTTTCCAAGCCACAAAAACAAACAAGCCTTTATATAGAGTCTGTGAAGAACTTTTCATGGGGAGAAAAAAAGATAAGAAAAAGAATATTAAGAAATTCCATGGGCAGCTACTAGCACACATACAAGCCAAGGAATCAAGAGCTTTTGTATTAGCATAGATCCTGGAATAAATGACATTGTATCATACTCACATTTTTCCCATTATCACTTGATGATGAACAAGTTTTAGGCAATTTTTGTTCTGGTTCTGAGTAATCTGTATCAGTTGAATAGGCATCAGGAGGAATGGCATAGTCACCTTCTGAGGTCATGGAAGACAGAGAGACACCTGAATGCAAAGCAAGGAATATATACTTACCAAAGGTTGAAACACTAACAAACAAACAACTTGGTTATTATGGTAGGACTATAAACATTATGAAAACCAGAATTATTTGAATTTAACAAATGTGAAATGAGAATAATATGAATATCATAGTGTTATTTCAACAAGTCTTATTTAAAAATGATGAAGATGCTCCAGAAATTAAGATTTATTTATTTATTTATTTGGGATATTTTTAGGCCGCCCAATCACACTGAGTCTCTTGACAGTTAACAGCAAATCAATAAATACAACAATTATATATATACAAATAAATACCATCATCTTATTATAAATACCCGAACAATAATAAAACTAAATAACCCACAACTGAAATAAAATTAATAATTAAAATCTATTACTCATTAAAATATTGGGAAAATTAAAAGGGCTTGACCGGGTGCTGAAAAGCATATAATGTTGGTGCCAGGCAGACCACTCTAGGGAGTGCATTTCATAACTGGGGTGCCACCGCAGAGAAAGCCCTCCTCCAGGTATTCTGTCTCCTGATCTCCTTCAAGGAGGGTTCCCAGAGCAGGGCCTCTGCTGCAGATCTTAAGGGGCAGGAGGGCATATAGGGAAAAAGATGTTCCTTTAGGTATCCTGGTCCCAAGCTGTTCAGGGCTTTGTAGGTCATGACCAGCACCTTAAATTGGGCCCGGACATCAATGGGAAGCCAGTGGAGCTGATAGAGGAGTTATATGAGAGTAATGACCAACAGCAGCCTGGCGGCAATATTTTGTACCATTTGAAGTATCCAGACCATCTTCAAGGGCAGCCCCACATAGAACATGTTACACTAGTCCAACCAGGAGGTTACCAGAGTGTGTGTCTCCGTCGCTAGGCAGTTCTTGTCCAGGTAAGGATGCAGCTGCTGGACCAGGAAGGAAAGCACTCCTCACCACCGCCATCACCTGGTCTTCCAGGGACAGTTGTGGGTCAAGAAGCACTCCTAAGCTGCAGACCCTGTCCTTTAGACGGAGTGCAACCCCACCCAGGACAGGGCCAAAGTCACTTACCTGGAAACTTGATCCATCCACCAAAATATATGAAAAATAATATAAGAATTATACTATTTCCCTGTCCTTTAGAAACAGATATGGTAATGATCATATGCCAGGAACATTTCTCTGAGTTATGGCATTTTAACTTTTTTCTTTTGCATAGATGTACAGTATTTTTATTTTCAGTTATCTATGTGAATAAGCAGTGACACAACCCAGTCAATTGCTGTGGAATTGCTCAAAATAAATTTCTTTAGGATGACTCACTGGATAGGTTTACTTTACACTGGAAATTCTCAACCCAATTCATACTGGATATGATCAGAACAAGGTTCTTAGGCTTTCAGCTTGAATAATGCAATTCAGACTTAATATGGCCACCCAAAACATTATTTTCTTCTGAGTGTGCATGAATAACAAGCAAGGTTTATGGGCAACACTTAAGCCAAGTTCCAGTTCATAAATCATGGGAAACTGTGGTTTGAGACTCTTTGATGGGTAAGTGCACATGAGCAGGAGGCTCATGCAGGAACGTCATGAGTTCAGTCAAATTGCAGTTTGTTGCGTGACTCAGCTACACTTGAAGATTGTGCGGCCTTGTTTTGCTTTCTTTACTTGTAAAGACCATTTATTTTCTGTTGTTTGCTCTGCTCACAACAGATGCATTGATCTATTCGCGATTAGTGCATAGGAAGCACACCTTGTAGCAACAGGTAGAGTGGATTGTCCTTAAGTTCCTTTCAATTAAATAATCTTTTACCATTTTTCCCTCGGCTCACACCTGCTTCTTTTTATTCTTTCCTGGTTCTCTAAATCGAGCTGAGGTTTTTTTTTCTTCATTCTAAGAACCATTGGCACTGACAATTCACAAATTATGTCCTGATTTTGATCTACAAGGGCCTATTGTGCCTTTGTCAGCTATTCCAGAAGGAAGTCACATCAGTCTCAACAACTCATTACAGGCTTCAATATGGATCTACTTTCAATGTTTTCTTCAATAAGAATTGTATAATACTCCAGAGTCAGATCTAATGATATTGTTTTCTTCTTTGTTGTGTAACACCCATAGTTAATTCAGTTCTGTGGAAATGATACACTGTTTGACTTAGAAATACTTTTCAGCTATCTGAAATAAAGAGATGATCACTATTACTGTTTGCTGTATAGCAATTAGTGGAAAACAGTATGGACTTTTAGATGATTTAATTCTAATTTGTGTGTGTGGATTTTCAATGTTCTACAAACTCAAAATATATGGTCTCTAAATGGATGAAGCATAACTATATATCCTTGTCACTGTGATGGAAAGTTGCGGAACATGAAATGACAGTGCAGTTAACTAGAAACAGATCCTCTTATATGTCTTAGAAATACATATTGTAATTTTTTAGAGTGCTTTTTTCCAACTTACTTTGTTCTGTGAAGCTTAAAGTATAAGCCTAAACATGTAAACATTCATCTAGTATGTTAGACAGTGGAAAACATTCAGTGGCACCCCAATTCTCCAAAATACTCAGAATAATTCTATCCACTGTATTATGAATCCTCACCGCGTTTCATAGCTCGTGGGCTACCTGGGCCACTTCTGCTCCGGGAGTCTGATTCAGATGTCCGTGAACTAGACTGAGAACTGTCATCTTCTTCAGACCCAGAGGAGTCATCTAAGAATGGGTTGTTGCTGATTTGTGTTGCTTTCTAAAGAAAACAAATTATTTTTAATAACTCACATACTATTTGCATGTTTGATGGTTTTAAACTGCAGTACACAAGCAGCAGCCCATGGAGCACATACGGCTCACAGCTGTAGGCAGCGTAGCCCTCACCCACTTTTCCTTGCTGCTCTGCTGAGCTCCTAGAAAAGATCACTGCAATAGCACTAGAATCTTCTCTGCCCTGTATCCTGCTTTTCTTCTAGATGGTCAGCTTTAATTGTCTAGATGAAGTGCTCCAGTGGAGGAGATAAGGAGGCAGAGGCATTGCTTGAATATTGCATAAGCCCCAACCTCCCCCTATCCCCACACCAAGCTCCTCCTCTCCAAAGCAGGCTTCTGACTGTAGCCAGGCAGCCAATGTGGTTCTTTCTATGCCTTCTACAACAGGGGTAGGGTGGGGGCTCAGCATTTAGGGCTCCAGCTCTGAGGTCACAAAACAATCCTAAGGTCCTCCTCAGCTGCCATAAAATTAGCTCTAAATTGCTCATTATTTCTGATTGCTGATGAACCCCATTATGCCAATGGCTACTTCTGTCTATATATGCATAGGATTTAGCTATACTTTACAAAGTCTGGGAACTGTTTTACTGAGGGTTACTTCTGAGAAAACATGGAAAATTGATCTGCACTTTTTATGCCTGAAAATGGTTGCATTGGGGCTGACTTCTAAGCAGATATGTATAGAGTTTATGCTTTGTATGCTTGTTGGGAATATGTTTAAATTGGTTACAAAAATTGGTTGTGCATGTGGGTATATGCATCTGTTTGCCCTGCAGCCCCTGAATAGCATACTCCAGATGTGACCTTCAGGGCCAAAAAGGTGGCTTTAAAATATTATACTACTATAAGAGTCAGAAGAAGTGTCCAGAATAGCAGCATGCAGAAAACAGCGTTTGTTATTTCAAGCAGCTGCAAATATTTTCTGCAGGCTATACTTGTATAAATAAGGGCTGATCTGCATTTGGCTGGTTATGTTCATATATGTTTAATAATTTCAGTATTAGAAATGCTGTCCAATTAAAAGCCCTGGTCGATTTGATCTTTCAAAATACAATTTGCAAAATATAGTCTTTGGGACATGATTTGGCTCCATTTCAGGTTAGAAAGGCATGCCCTAGATGCTACTATACATTTTTGTGGTATGAGAAAGTTTGGCTGCTGGCTCCTCATTGTCTCTGGACAACTAGCCACAGTGTTCTACTCAGAAAGAATACATATCAGCTCCTCTTCATACTTCATGCATCTTGTTTACTTTGTTTTCTTATTCAGAAATAAAGTTCTGCTGTGCTGGAGTTTGGTAACCAGTATTGGCTCTCTGCATTCACATTCTTTCCATCAATATTTCTGGCTCTATTACATTTTAATGTTACATTCAGGCTCTGCATTTGGCACTTAAAGTAATAGCACATTGCTGGAAAGCCCCACCTTTTAAGTATTTTACCATATGTATTTTACAATTTAAGCTTCTTCATATTACAAAAGATATCAGAAAAGAACTGAAATTGTGATGAGATATTGCAAGCTATTGGAACATGAAAAGAGAACAGTGCTTTGGCAGTAATCAAATTTATTTCTACAAGTTTTCCTAATAGTAATACTGTTTTCTCTGTTAACACACACACACACACACACACACACACACACACACACACACGATAACAATTAGATAACCCACTTATTACACTTTCTAAGCAGCAACAATTGCTTTTCCAGCACCTCAAACACCCCACCCCACACCAAATCCCTGAGTACATTCTTATGGCATATATGGACTGCCACATTTTTGTTAAGTGGACCCTAAAACTGCATCCCTCAAACTCCAGCACACAACTTTAAACAAAATAATTACCCCTTTAAGAGTGGTATAGACAGGTGTAGTCACATTTTTATATATTAATGATGTATAGAGTCCTGATGGTGAATACGAAGTTGAAGCAGAACCTGAAATAAATAATACTTTTTCAGAAACCTCTTTAGCTGCCATATTTACTTTTATTTATAAAAGCTGTTCACTGGATTAAGGCTCTATCCAAGAATTAATCTGGCCAATATAATTTTATGAGAGCTGAGGTACACATGGTCATATAACAAGAACACATTTTCTGTATGGTTGAACAAAGCTAACTTAAGTTCTGAGAAACAGAAGTAACAGAACCCTATCGTATCTGAGTTTCATTTTATATTAGTGGATATAATGTGTATAATTAAAAACACATTCAAGATCTAGCTTTACATTCTTCTGGATTTCTCAGTGTCAAGCAGAAGATTTTTTTATCTTCGTCCTTACTCAGAGAAAGTTTCATTATGTTCAAAGGGGTTTGCTTCCTAAATATTTGTTATGAGTTCAGTCACAGTAAGAGATTTGACAACTTACTTTTATTGAAGGCATCCATGTTGAAGGCCTCAGAGAAGTGTAGCCCTGACTTGGCAACAGCATAAATTCTGTTTTCCTGACATGTAAACAAAATTTTTTATAATATACGTCTTTATGCTTTCTTTCCAACACTTTAAGCTTGTGTTCTCAGCGTGCCTACAGTCCACTCAGCTCAACTGGAAACAGACATGTTTCTCTTAGCCCAGAAAAGGACTATAAGCAATTAGGTCTAAAATGGATGTATCGCTGTCATACTTTAATGTTTCTGTTCATGCTATCCTTTTTTGCAGTCACTCCTCATAAAGGATTTCAACTAGATTTGTTTTAATGTTGCAATATTTCTGTGTTAGTAATATAGATTGGTTTGATCCATACTGAGATATTTCTGCCATTAGACATCAGCTTGTTCACAGTATAAAATTTGAGTGGAATTTAATCATCATTGTTGAATTATAATATTTCTTTAGCATTCATACTTGTGCTTTACACAATTAACATTCCATTTCCTATGCATTTGTTATTGCACTTGAAATAAAGGAAACTTCCTTTTTAAGAAGATGTGTTTTGGACTTAAATGTAAATAGATTAAAATGAGTTAAAATATACCTGCATCCATTTTTGTAGCTAACTTACCGACATGAAGGAACAAATACTATTCTATTTGTTACTTTTACTATGTAAGTCATAGCAACTCACATTATTCTAAACAGTCAAAGGTAACTGAACGGAAACCACGAAAACCATACAATGGGGATGCTAGGGACAATTTCCTACTCATAGCACCTTCCAAACCAAGCCATCAAATCAATTCATAAAAAAATTGAAGGGAAGCAACTGAGACAATAGGAAAATTTTAGGTAATGCATATACAGTGGGAGTACAGGTCCCTAAACTTTGATTATTATCCAAAATTAGATGGCAACTTTAGTAACACATATTATCTCAATGCATTGCCAAACTGGATATTGCAAGATGTTCAAAGATTATGCTTTTGTGGCTCAACTGTGCTGGAATCCCTAGATACCTTTTTAGCTTTTTCTCTGTGAGAAGAGATTACAACTCCATTGTCAGCATAATTAGGAAAGGAACTGAAAATAAAACTGCAAAGATTATAGTCCCCTTTTATAAATCTTTGGTGCCACTGCACTTAGAATATTGTGTACAGTTCTGGTGGCTTTACTTGAAAAATCCCTCTACCGAATTGGGGAAAGTGCAGAGAAGCAATTCTTTCATGAGTAACAGCTACAACGGCTTGATTTGTTTGGTGAGAAAAAATGTGAGTAAGAGGAGTCATAATAGGGTGTTTAAAAATATACATGGTGGGGAGAAAGTGGGGACTTTTAATACTAAAAGCTGGGTTCATCCCATAAAATTGGTTGGAAGATTGGAAGATTGAGGACAAATTTAAAGAAAGTACTTCTTCAACACAGTGTATAGTTAAACTATTCCATTTCCTGTGGAATCTGCTGCCACACGAAATAGTAATGGCTACCAAATTAGATGACTTTCAAAGGGATTGGAAAAAATCTTGGAGAAGCAGCTTGTTTGTCACTGTGTGGAAGGCTGGACCAGATGGACCATGGGTCTGATCTAGCTTGGATTTTGCTGAGTTGAAGTGGTTATTTGATCTTACCATTTTAACTGAATGTTTTCCTTTTCAGATGGAAGTTCATAGTTCATAGTGGGGTACGTTACTTTGTTAACCATAAATGTGTACATTTCTTCTTACAGCTGACTTTCTTGAATACAAATGCTATATCTTTTTAACATGAGGAAGTTTAAAAATATTTGATTTTTCTCAGCTTCAAAGTTTCAGCTTATAATCTTTGTCTACTAATTATACATATGTCTCCCCATTGCTCATGAAGTGATTCATATAGTTTTCTCAGGATTTTAGTTCTATTATTAAATGAAATCATAAATTGAAATCAACTGAATTTGCTATTTTGATTCATCATCTGAAATGTGCAAAAAAGAAAAAAGCAACCATTTTCCAAACAAACTTTTGTAACTCGGTGTGATTTAAGGCTTTTTATCTATATTGAATCAAGAGTCTTGTATATATAAGAACTCAAATATGCACATAGAGCCCCTGTCCACGGGGATTCTGGTTTAATTGAAGGTGGCCATATCTCTGGCCATATGTGTGAAGCTTTGGCATAATTAAATCATCTAATTAAGATCAGACAAAGTATGTCACACATTGTACATGATGTGGAAGGGGCCTCAGACTTTTACATAGGGAGGGAAGGGGCATTAGCTAAAGCACTCATGTCTCTGCTTCTCCTGGACAATCATTTAATAAATCATTTCATAATTTCAATGTTTCCAAAACTTTCTCTTTTTTATATGAACCCAGGACCCAACTAGGTAAGGAAGAATGCTCCCAAACCATCTTTGACTTTCTCATTTCTGACTCAGACTTTTCCTGTTCTACTTCAACTTTCCTCTCTGCTGTCCAGGTTTTATCCCGTGACTTGCTAAAAAAGGGCAGAAAAGGAGAATTGTAAAACATTTTCTAAAAATCTGCTACAACAACAATTAATGGCCAGTCTCATGGAAGTTCAAACTAGGAATACATATTTTGCACAGTAAAATTGACTATTGACTGTAGAGATATGAAATTGGAACTTTCAAAACAGGCACTAAATATAAAGCATTATCATCACTGATAGTACACAGGTTCATATTTAAAGCAGATAACTGCATTTAGTGGACACATTTTAAAAACCAGAGATTGTGAATGATCTCTGGTTAACTTAAAAAACCGGAATATTATTATATATAAGAGCTTTTACCCAAGAGGGGAATCGGTGCAACGGAGGGGTAGGAGGCTTGTTGTTTGCAATTTTCTTTGCATCTCCAGAGTCAAGGGCTTCCTCACATTGAGTCTCACAGGAGTCATAGGTAAACAATTCATCATTACAGTTAATTTCCATCTTCTCTAAAATATCTGTATTTTCTCCATCCACCTGATCAATGTCTGTTTCCTGAGGCTTGAAAGGACGTATCATGCTTATAGCATTTCTGTTTCTGCCAAACATTTTGTCTGAACATAGAGGAGGTTGGCTAAAATGTTTTTTTGCCAGTGCTGCACTTAGTGTAAAGACACTAGGAGTTCTTAGCTTTGGAGGTGGCAAATTTGATGGAGAATCACACTGCCTGCCAGACTGAGAACCTGCTGCTGACATCAGTGCTGGATGCTTAGGAGCTAGAGCTGGAGTTAGAATAGGACTTGGAGTATTTGTCTCACTTGAGGAAGATGAATAATCTAGCCTGTGCAACTGAAACCTCTTATTTAGTTCATCTGAAAAACTATCAAGATCTTTCTTTTCACTGAAAGATTCTAAGCTCCTTCCAACTAAATGATTCTGGCTTTTCCATGCAGATCCTTGTTGCCAGGAATATAGTTTCTTGTGTACGTTTCCCTGAGTTTGGAAGTTCTCTTCTTCCAGTAAAGAACTGCTGTCATCTGATGCTGTCAAATACATTTCACTCCCAATTCTGCTGTAGCCCATGCCTTCTTCAGATGTCTGACTTGAAATGGTAGATATACATCTGGATTTTGATCTTCCTTTGTTTCCTTCATCCTCATCAGAGCTCCAGTCACTTACTGTAATGCAAGAATTCTTTGATATACTGTTATCCAGATCTTTTGATTTTATTGCTTTTCTTTGTTCTGCCATGGAAGAGTTTTGCTGTAGTGGCTTCAGAGCTCTATTATTCCCAAACATTTGGCTGGCAGTGGAAGTTTCCTGGATTTCTTTTTCTAAAAATGTAGAGAATAATACCTTGTTTGGCAAAGTGCTTTCAATGAAGTTAGCAGATTGCAAATTGTAAGGCACATGTACAAGTGATATCAATTTAGCTAACTCTTGGGACCTTACCATCCAGTCCTGGAACATCAGCCTAAGAAGCTTACCATAAGCCAAGTACCACTGAAAGCAATCCATTTTATTTCTGAGTAAATATGTTCAGGATCAGCAGGAATGTGTAACAGAAACTATTTCTAACTTACCACCTAAGCTACAAAACAGTTATGTAAGAATACGTTTATACAAACTGTATGCTAAAAGGAGTCCTGGGATCCTTGTGAGGAAGAGTACAATATAAATTATATGAGTAAATGAAAAAAAGAAAAACAGCAAACAGGTAAAACAACATCAAAAGCAGAACAGATAAAACTAATAATCAAAGACAGCACTGATGACAGTGTGGGAAAGCCAAGTGCCAAGAGGATGGAACATTTGGTTTCAAGAACTTCTTAGGGAGGACATTTCAAATATGATTTACTACAACTAAGGGCTATAGCCAATGATATCATTCCAGAAACTTTAAAAGGGCTACTGGAGCACCACTAACACTTTATTTATTTATTTATTAAAAGCTTTTGTATGCCATCCTATTATACAAGATCTCACTTGTGCATTATACTTGAGCAATTGCACATGTTTAATACACAATGGATTGCACAACCACATTTGTGCAAGTAACTTTAGTTGGCGTTCCATTTTGCACTCAGTTTAGAACCAAGCTTCTGCTAGAGCAACACCATTTGCCCAAACATAATTATGCAGCTTGATCATAGTGATGCAGTTACAGCACTACCTGTCTAACTTCAGCAGGGTCGAATTACAGTGGTACCTTGGCTCATGAACGCCTTGGGTCACAAACAAAAATTTCATGAAAATTTTGACTTGGATCACGAACTCCGCTTTGGGTGGCGACCAAGATCGCAGCCATCCCCCCCCCCCCCGAGTGAGAACACATGTGTGATCACGGCTGGGCTGTGCTGTGCTGCGCCCTTCTTTCCTGCAGGAGCACACCCGTGATCACACACGTCTTACCTGCACGAATGCAACTGTGATCCTGGCCATCTCCCCACTCGGGGGGTGAGGAGATGGCTACGATCGTGCTGGTGCGGGGGGAGATGGCCCAGATTGAGCCCATCTTTCCTGCAGGAGCACGCCCATGCCAGGGTTTCTTTGAGAAGCACCAACCCAACATAAATGTAACAAACAGAGTGTTGAATCTGATGAACAATAACGTGGTCGCTCATTTCCGGAGGGTTATGCAGCGCAGGAAAAAACAAGTGACTATAGACAGATTTTTCACCAAAATTGACCCTGCAGCTAAGAGACAAAGAGGGGAAACCCCTGAAAGAGATCTCCCCAATGTCCTTATGGAGGGGTACTCTCCCTCAAAACAATAATCTCCCCCCACCACCTAGGTTAGTGTTCTCCACTGTACTGTACAGTACTTTGTTCTTTGTCACTTCGTTTCAAATTTCTCTGATTAAAAAAACAGCTACACAACAGATTAACCTTATTTACATTGAACCTTATGGGGAAATTTGAGTTGGGTCACAACCAATTTGGATCACAACCAGAGTCGTGGAACGGATTAAGTTCGTGAGCCAAGGTACCACTGTATTACTGTAGTTATGGCAACTTCATACTGGGAAAAAGATCTCTTGGATCATAAGCCAATTATGATCATCTGGGGACTGCAACCAAAATAGGAACACCTGTGTGGAAGCATATTCCACTCAAATCAATGAAAATTACTGTCTAGTAATCTATTTAGGACTGAATCAATAGGGTTTTTTAAAAAAAACACTATACCCAGAATACCTAGACTGCTGTTGCCTTCACTAAGTTCAGCTTGCTTTGATGCACTACTGCTTGTATTTTCAGGTTTGAGAACTTGTTGAGGACTTCTTGCTCTGTTTAAGAAGCATCCAAAAGTCAAACTGCTCAATCTTTGTCCTTCTCCAGGTTTTTGTCCAGAAGGAACAGATTTCTTCCCCTGCAGCTCTGTGTAGTAATAATAAAAATACTGATGTGTGATCAATTTTAAAGTTACATATTAACAGATTTCTTACTTTAAATATTCCAAGATGAACCCTTCCGGATGAAACACTATTATATTTATACTGCCACTGTTCTCTCATTAGGTTTGTTTCAACATTCATTTTAGTATTTTAAGTGAACACAGATTGAATGGGTTTTCAGTCCATGATGGATTGTTGTGTCGTATGAAGTCAGACACAGGTGGCCTGTGAATGAGCTACAAGTCACCCCAACAACCCCCGGGGTTATTGTAGATGTTGTTATACCCATGGATAACTGATGCCATAGGGGGTAGGGGAAATAAACTATCACAACCAATGGCAACAGTGACAAAAAAATCCTTCGGTGCTCTTGCCATGGGGCTACAAGGCAAGCATCAGTTCTGTCCACCTCCAAAAAGACCGAACAACAGCTGGGGGACAGATGTCCCAGCCTCCTCCCTTTTCTGCTGCAAGCCATGAAAAAAAGATTGCAAAAATGTGTATAAATGTTATTTTTAATATTCTATATCTATCTTTTAGACACACTTGAAAGAATTGGCTATGTATAGCTACAAGAAGAGAGGGTGATAGGCTAACTTGCTACAAGGAGAATTTTAATTCCCTCAAACCACTTTTTCACAGCTAAAGATTCCTCTATCTTTTCGGTTTTCTTTTTCCTTCTGACAGCTGCTAAGAAAACCCAAAGTGGAGAAAAATGTATATGGAGACTCTTCTGTGCAAGTCCAGGCATGGTACCTGCAGCCCCTTGGCAGCGGACCTCCTCCCCTGAAAAGTGCTGCAGCTGAGGCTTCAAATCCCTGCAGCAGTGCAATTATGAAAGTGCACAGTTGTACAATTGCAATTAATTGTTTGTTTAAATTTAGTTGGCAAGCACTGTTGCTGTTAGGGACTGGACTGCTTGTAGATGCCGAAAAAGGGTTAAAACAGGGTGGAGGCCAACAGCCCACAGTGAGCCCATTCATCTGTCAAGGATCAATGTAGGTTACTTGCACAACAACCAACTCCCTACAGCTTATAGCCAGGCAGGTTGCTATGACATGTTAGCAACCTCAATGTATTTTAACAGTTAAAACGTTGCTTCAGTTGCCCTTGACTAGAGAAGTGACTGATAAATATTTGGTGCATCCAATATTAGTGCAAATGAGAAGTGCTTTTCCCCAAGTTTGGGCTAGTCTTCCTTCCTCCAGCATTCCCCCAACCCATATTCCAAGCCATTGCTGAAGGTCCCTGAACTCTCAGAAAAAAAGCTTTTTGTGGGGTGCAAGAACTACAGTGCTGATGAAAAGGTCGGAATTCCCATGCCTGAGCATCCTTTTCATTCAGACCAGCATCTGACCAAATCCATTCTAAATTTATTTACTCATTATTTCCATTATTATGCCTTCACAATAGCTTATAGTTGAGCTCCCTGAGCAGCTTACAATGATTAAAACATGAATACTAAAAACAACCCCATAACATTAATAATACAAAACATATCAAACAAATTAAAATTGTTACATTCAATTATATTCAATTAAGAAATAAATAAAAAACAAACTAAAATAAAACCATAAGCCAGGGTCAAAGTAAAATCAAAATTCATTAAAATTGGCTGTTAAAACTGCTGGAAAAGAGAAATGTCTCAGCCTGGCACCAAAATGATAGCAGTGATGGTGTAAGGTGCACCTCTCTGGGAAGTCAGGACACGACTACCAAGAAGGCCCTTCTAGTTACTACTCTCCTCACCTCTCTAGTGTATGTCTGTGTATATACACAAACACACATACTCAGAATACAGGCATTTGTACTAATGTAAATGAAGTCATTATTCAATACACAAAGTTGTGTTCAGATCTTTTCAGCAGTTTACCTTGCAATTTGTTCTGCAATATCCTAATCTCTTCAATCTGATTTTGATTGATCATGCGAAGGTTCTGATTCTCCACTTCCAGCTGTAAGCATAAAGACACAATCTCCTTCTCATTAGTAGAGCAATGAAAAGATTAGTTTGAAGGCCATAATTCTCTTTCATCTTCTTTGACATGAACTACAACCTCTATCCACATTCCTTCAAAATTTTATTTTTAAAATGTTTTCTACGTATGTCTATATTTAAAAAAATCCACAAATGAAAACAAAGCTTAAAATAGTGTAAGCTGTTATAATATCTATTTGCTCCTAAAAATTAAAAGAAAACATATCCCATTTTTTATTTATTGAAAGGGGAAATTTTCCTTACCAATATATCCCAACTGTCTTCTGTATTAGGAAGAACTAGTTATAACATCTAATACAGTACCTCATCTTTGCCACAAAAAAATCTGCTTTTCTTTTTTGGGTTTTCTATGTTCCAAAAAAGACTAACATATGAAATGCTAAGGGTACAATCCTGTGCATGTTAGGCAGAAAAAAGTCCTACAGTTCCCAAAATCCCTACAGCAAACTCATGCTGGCTGGAGTATGCTTGATTTGTAAGAAGCTCTTCTTTCCAAATATGTATAGCTTTGTACTCTATGACTATGTGTTAAACATCTACCTTTGCAGAAGATGGGTGGTACACAGGCAAATGCTAAGGTCCATTACAGGCAATTTTACATGTTAAAAAACCAGGTTACTTTCATGGAGGAATTTAACAAGCATCCTCTGCCTTGCAAATACTTCAAATGAAAGCTAAAAACTCACATTTGAAGCTCTAATGGCAAAAAAACAAAACAAAACAAAACATGGGAAACAGTAGCTCTGGCCTCATGAAACCTTAATTACTTGATTAAGATTTTCATCTAAGCAGTTCTGAGTTGCTACTTTGTTTACAGAAGATCCTTGTACTTTATACTTAGGAAACATTACTAATAACTCTGGTGCCTTGTTAAATAAATTGTTTTCCCAACTATGCTATATATTGCACACTTATAGGGAACTGATCCATTGACTTCAAACATCTGTGAATTCTCCTCTCTGAACTTTATTCATAGTGTGACTCACCTCATGAAGCTTGATAGTCACCCATTCCTTTATTTTAGCTGCTTTTTCCTCTATAATTTTTGCCTCTTGTATTCGTATTTGCTTCTGAAACAACAGGACAGATCCAGCCTTTTGTAACTTGCATATCTGACCCTAAAAACCTGCTATCAGCTATATGATGAAATAACCTTACTTATTAAAGCAGCATAAAGCTTAGCAAGAAGATTATAATATCCAGCACTCAACCCCTTACAGAAAATACTCCCTACAGAAAAAGCACAATTGGCTATTTCCCAGCCCCAGCTTCTAAACCTTACAAATGACCTATCAGTCTATCTTCCAACCCCTGCGAATGCCTTAACTGACTTTGCTCAGAAGGGGTGGTAAAAAGCAGAAAACTTTAGACTTCAATACACACTTGACCACTGGCCAAGCTGGCAGAGGGTCCTAGGACCTGAGTCTAAAGTGTGTGGTGAATCACTGTTGTACAGCATTTACCATGGCTGCCAGCATTGTCCCAACAATAGATGGGAAATAGTGACAAAATTATAAGGCACAAAGTCATACTGGGCGCCTTAGGTCTGGGTCTTCTCACCCGTTGCTCTTAGTTCCTAAGATATTCTTTCCCTCAAAAGGAACCATGAATAGGCATCTTTACAGAATCTATTTTTTAACAAGACTTTAATTGGAAGAAAATCTGGGAAATACTGATGTTTTCTTTTCTCCCCTTATCTCCTATAACAGTCAAGATATGCATATGTAAAAAAGTATAAACCTGTAATTTCCAACCTGTTCCATAAGTTGTTGCTCCAAATTCTGTATAATGTCATCTTTCTCTAGCATCTGAGTCTCTAGATCTTGACATCTCTTATATAGCCTTGTCTCTGACTCACTGGTTTGGACATTAGCAGCTTTTAGTTTCTCCTCCATAATCTGCACCTAGAAGTTACAATACAGTGTTATACATAAAACAGGAATAATTTATTACACATTGCAGATTACAAAATAATGGAAGTGCTAAAATCTACAAGCAAATCTACAAGTACTTACCTAAAAAGCTGATAGAGAAACAAAACTTCAGGATACGTGATACAATTTAATCAATCTGGAACTGACTGAATCATCATAAAATTCTGTAGTTTCTCTGCCTGGTCCTAATTGTGTTCACATCCTAGTAATTTTTTAATGTTGAGGGTATATTTTAGATGAGTCAACTATCTGGCCACAGCATCCTAAACGAGCTGCAGTTTCTGAACAGTTTTCAAAGGCAGTCCCATCTAGAGTACATCATGGTAATCCAAACAGGTTGCAACTATAGCATAACCATTCTCACTTTAAAAATAATGACATGTCAGATGGATTAGACCAAGGATTAATCTAATACAGTTTCCTATTTCTAGAAGTAGCAAACATGGTATTTCAGTAAAGATGGAAAGTAATGAAAACAGCATTCCTCCACCATAGTTTTTGCACTAGTTTATTTCTTCATTCATATACCACAGGTAAAGCCTCTCAGAAAATCTAACAATATAAAAAGTATGTGAAGATTACAATAAGTATCAATAAGCAATATAAAACACATAAAAATAGTAGCAGAAGGCCAAACTGAAAAAACATAAAAGTAAATTTATTGAAAAATCTAGTTAATATCCCCTGAGAGAATTTGTCCAATCCTCCTTTAAAACCATTTAACCCAGTGGCCATCAACACATGCTGACCCAGCAAATTCCATAAGAATGCACTGTGTGAAAAAGTAATTTCTTTTGTCTGTCCTGAATCTACTGCCAATCAATTTCCCTCAGTAACCCCAACTTCTAGTATTATCAAAAAAGAACGGGAAAGAGAAAAGAAAAATCTACTTTCTACAAACCCACATAACTGTATAAAATTCTATCAAGTACACTACCAAATTTATTTCCTTAAACAAACAAACAAACAACAATAAACCTAAAAGAGTGCCAAATGCTTTAACCTTTTCTTGTAGGGAAACTACTCCAATCTGATGAACATTCTGGTTGCTCTTTTCTGCAACATCTCTACCTTTATAATATCAATTTTGAGAAGTAACCAAAACTATATCATAGGCAGAATTCCAAATGGAGATGCATGTAAGATGCACACATAAGTTGCATTTCTGTAAAATGTTTAATATTAAACATGCATTGTATGTATTTATAAATAATACATTTTATAGCATTTATATAAAACGTTAACAGTGCTTTGGGAATATCAGTTAAAAGTTTTGTGAGACTCTTTTTCAGGCTACATCATTAAGAATCTTTCCTTGCAAGTTAGTTCCATTGGACATTCAGTGTTAGAAGCAGTGTTATAAACTCTTGAATTACAGCTGTGCTGAATTTTTGTGAAGCTCAATTTACACTGCTGCCATTTTGGATGGTGTTGACATTTTTGCAAAGCCCCCATCTCCCATTCACTAAGATTTCTTTTGAATATAATCTCATCTGTTGTTCCTATGTTTTAGGAGAGATGGGTGAACTTGGTGAATAGTCCCTGTCTTACAATGATGCACTGGTTTTGCATTGTATGACAAGTTTTGCTGTGATCTATAATTAAACTTAAATGGATCAGATCAAAGAAGACTCAATACAGTTACTTATAGCTGCAGAATTAGTCCAATACTAAAAAGAAAAAAAATCCACCATGAAACTCACTTTTTGCTTTTTGTATAGACATAGCTCATATAATAGCATGTGGTAAATAATGGAAGAGTTGAACATACCTTACAAAATCAACAAAGATAAAAGGCTTAGTTATCTAAAGATTGATAGCATATTTGTACAGGTACTCTTGCTAAGGCCATGGAGGCATTACCAATCAGGCATACCAAGATGTGTTCATACTGCTCACAGTTAATGACATCTTCTTTCTTCTAAATTTAGCTTCACCAGAGGAGAAAATCTAGAGAACTCTAGCATTTGCTAATACAGTAATTTGAGGGAGCCAAAACCATGGCAAATTGGGTTATTTCACAAGATCACTTTCATGTATGAGGAATGCAATTATTTTGTATAACATATCACAGGAACCCATTGTTAGTTAGGTGTTTATGATGTGTTCTACGGTTAAATACAAGCATGTGTCCATTGCAAAAAGATTGAAAAAAAAAATCTTGGAACAGCATACAAGTTCCTTGCTTCACAGAGTGATTTATTTATTTTCTATACCACCCAACAACTGAAGCTAATTTCCCATTTTCCTATTTATTTCCCTAAACTGTGCCTCATAAAGCTGTATTATATGACATTTTATACTGTTGCATTTATCGAAACTTGTTTGTAAGCTGTCCAGAGACACATAGTGATTGGACAGGGTAGAAATATCTCAAATAAATAAATAAATAAATAAATAAATGCCTGTTTACAACTTGCTACTTTATTTTGCCATTGCCAAGTTCTGCTCCCTCCAATTTCTCTTCTATGCATATCTAGTACTTCTAGTTTATAAGCCAGAACGTTTCAGAGAAAATATTTGCCTGAAAAGTGGCTTAAAATGTAATAAAATTAAATCAATAAATATTTGACTATTCAGAAATGATATTGCATGTATTTCTGTATTATGAGTATACCTGCTGAAAAGCCTTTTCCGCCTGACGATCTGCATCAATAACTTGTTTTTCAAGTTGCTGCATCTGTACAGAGATAAGTAAAAAAACTAACAGCATAAGATGCAAATTTCCTTGATACCAGTAAAAAATATTAACACCATAAATATGCAGTGCTTTCCCTGAGGGATCAAAAAGCTTCATATACATTATCTTAATAATCCATATATCAAATGTACATAAGGTAGGTCAGAATAATTATCACCATATTGTAGTTGGAGGTGGGTGACGCTAAGACACACATAAGGTCACCCAGCGGGCATAAGTAACTAATTCCTTCCTTTCAGTGGAACAGAGTGAAAAGATTTTCAGCAATTCCACTTTTGTTTCAGTAATGGAAGTCTTCTATTAGCAAAGGAAACTAGATGAAAGGAGTGCCCCTTCTTGGATAAACCTGTCCAAGAATTGCTATCTGTCAAAGGGGCCCTCCTCTGCATTCTGACTCTTAGGAATTGTACATTGCATGGAGGTCTGAGAGGACCTTCTTGGCTATGGTGCCCTTTCACCGGCAGCCCAACTGGTACCTGGACTGGATTCATCTGAGTTCCAATGCAAGAGTTGACTCTTCAACCAAGATTCTGATTCTCAGTGACTTTCACTTGGCTTGATTTACTATTACTGTTGTCATGCTGGATTATGGGTTTTTCCTGTGACATTTTATGCCAAACTGTTTTTACTAATTGTATCCCATCCTCACATATTTTGATACAGAGCAGGTTAAAAATGTTTTCATAAATATACATTATAATTGGATTCTACCCAGTGAGTTCATGGGTGAGAACTAAATCACATATGACAATAAATGTATCACTTGGAACCATGTCAGTGTATTTTCCCCAATTTAACAGAGGAAATAGTAAGCGTGCACAGCCATCAGAACTCGAGTATAACAGATGAGATGTTTAACCCTACTGATCCTGAGTCCAATAAAGCACTCCCTTTGTGTTGCTATTAGCCTTAAGGGGAACAACAATGATGATTCCCTTTGCTACCAGGGAAATATTTTTTTTCCCTATGTGTAAAACTAGTGTACAGTTTTCATCAGGCTCACAGCTAAGTTCCCCTGCCTGACATGCGGCAGCCCTGATGAAAATGGTCAGTCTCTGCACCTATTGTTATTTTTTTTAATCTCCCACCATACATGAAGTACCTCCAAATGATCCATTTAGTGTCATAGATTGGATCTGAGCCAAGAGCTCAACCCTACATTTCTTGGTTAATAAATTATATTTCATGAACCACTATAAATGAGACTGATAACATCAAAAAGAATTTAAAAGGCAAAACAAGAGTTGTGGTATATTATAGAAGAACAGACCAGTAGCATGATATGCAATATAAACTTAAGACAGCAATTCTAAACAAATTTTCTTGGCAGTAAGTTCTAACAAACTCAATGGGTCTTCTGAATAGACGTTCCTAGAATTGCATTATTAGAGCTTCAAGCCATCAACTGATATGCCAAAAGGTATTAACTACCACAAAAGCCGCACTGAATCATACCAAAGGACTATCTAGTCTAACACTATGATCACACAGAAGCCAACCAGGTGCCTATAAGAAGCTGTAAAACAGGGTATAAACACAATAAACTCAATTTTGGCTATTTACATTTGAAATTTAAAGTAGAAGTAAGATAAGTCACATTCCAGTTTACCCATGAACATTCAAACATTGTGCTCCCAAACACATTGAACAATTTAGCAATCGAGAGCAGGCTGCAGGCTCCCCGAGTGTGCCTGCACCCACCTCCCCCACAGCGCACCTGCACCAGTCTCCCCCCCACCCACAGCATGTCCACACCAGTCTCTCCCTCCCCAGTGCACTCGTGGTTCTCCTCTTGGCCCCCCATGTATAAGACGCCCCTCCATTTTTAGGTAAATATTTTAAAGTATCACCCTATACATGGAAAAATATGGTAATTTCCTTCACCAGGAAATGTGATGATGTCATTTTAATCCTTTAGGGAAAGGTTGGTATTTGAACTTACTCCCCAAATCAATCATGTTTTAAGAAACAGCCATGCAGGTTGTATGGAATGCGCTCCCCAGAGAGGTCTGCCTGGCGCCATCATTATTTGTTTTCAAGGCGCCAGGTTAAGACCTTTTTATTCCAACAATATTTTAATAACTTTTAATATTGGTTTATATATGTTTTTAACTGCAGCCAGGGTGGATCTGAAATTCATTTGTATTATGTTTTATATTATTTTATTTATGTAAGCCGTCCTGAGGTCTTCGTGACAGGATGGCAGATAAATATTCTATAAATAAATAAATAAACCACCATATACCAATTTAGATCTCTATCCTCCATATACCCATCAACAACCCAGAGTAAATTGCACAGAGAGATCACATGGAAACAAACTATCTGGAAGAGGTACATAACAAGGTGATGTATGATATATCATGATAAATAATGCAATTCCAAGCTACATCTCTCAAATGTAGATTGGTATCATACATGCATAAAAACTTGTAAATGCAGAATGAAATCTTGAATTAAAGGTCCACTCTTGTCTGAAATTATATGAATAAATTCATCACTTTCTGAAGAAATAATTAGTTATTTTAGAGAAATTTGGCATGTCTGTAGTTCAGCATTTATATTTGACCAGTGTTAACCATGGTTGTGTGGATCTTAAATCCTGTTTTGGAAACCAACACAAATATTAGCCATCCAGTCCAACTCATCTGCAACTGTTAATAACAAAAAGTTGCTCAGCTAAATGCCATGTCTGGTCTTAGCTGCACCAAAGAATAATGCCCAAAGCATCCCCAGGCTAAATGGCTGAATGGAGTGTGTGCTCAGAAAAAAGTTCTCAACTAGTTAATGAACTAAAGCCATGATTAAATCATAGTTTTTTGTAAGGCTCAAGAAAAAAATGTTAAGTAGTATTACATGAGCTTGCAGCATGCTTAAATTAGTTTGCTTTCTGGCAGCAGAAGACTTTGATCTTGTAAATTGGAAATATTCTTGAATGCTCTCATACTCATGCAAGTCGGCTCCTGTGAGAATTACACAGTGTACAAGAAGCTCAAAATGAGGGCCCCAAACTAGTGGATTATTTTAAATAGATGGTTCTTTCAATTTAAAAACTTGCTAATGCCATTTGTTGGCAATCTCCAAGGAATCAAATGAGATTATTTAAGGCCTGAAGAAAGATATTTACTAGACTCTTCTTGACTACCACCACCCAGTGGAACAGGAAGCCTTTAAAGCTGAAATCCACCAGGCTTTCCCTGTTCACTGTTTACTGTATAGGTGACCAAATAGCTATTATTTCTCCAGTCATATCATTAACTCCCTATTTGATCATTGTTTAAGCCCTGATAAGTTACTTTGTCTACAGGTGCCGCCCTGAATTTTCAGCTCCTGACAATGGGTTGTCACTCATTGTGAACTTAGCAACTGGAATTAAATAACCCTTGCATAACTCACAGCCTGTTCTAGGATTATGTGCATATTCAGGGTGACACCAAAGGTGCCAGGTGTCATCATGCTATGCAAACAGTCTTATGGTGTTTTCTCCAAGTGAGAGAGAGAAGAGAGAAAAGTGCTGGGCAACTCTCTCAGTCTCCTAGCTCAGTGATTTTCAACTTTCACAGCTGGGAACTGGCCATTTTGGGGGCGGGGACCTTGGAGGCAGAAATAACAAGCATTAGATGCATAATATAATATTTTATGTATTAGTGTTCAAATATAATACCAAAAACAATAATTCTCTAAAATAACCAGAAACTGAGCAGTAAAAAATGCTAATAAAAGAATAAAATGTTGAAATTAAATGTAATCAAATACAAATTAATTTTTAGAGAGCAATATTTAATTCAAATAAGCCTAATGTGAAATCTGCTGTTGTTTCTTTTCAAGAATACTTGATAGTCATGGCTGCAGTGTTGTTTCTGAGAGACAAAGCACTACACTGACATCCATTCTGTTTCTGCTTGGTTTTTATCAGCGACAGGGCTGAAAATCTCTTTTCACACAAGTATGTGGTAGAAAATTTGAGTAACAATTTAATAGCTCTGTAACTTAGAGACAGATATTCTTTTTCCAGTGATGCCCAAAACTGTGACAATGATTGGACACCAGAATGTTTGGACACCAGAATGAGATCAGAGCTCTATCTTACCTCCTGCTAGGATCAGCTGGGTTCCCCTGGTGATGGCAGCAGTGCTGAGTGAGCAGGAAGAGGAGTGTTGCCATCTTTCAGGCATTCCTGCTGACTGTAACTCCTTGTCAGGCGGCACAAGGCCAGAACCAGGCAGCTTGGGGCCACTTGCATGTTGAGGGAACAGGAGCAGCGGCAGCATTCTCAGAGCTGCATATAAGGGCAGCAACTCCCACTCAGCCCGCTCTTCCCACTCCTCCTTCAGGGATGCTGCTGTCCCCAGGCGAACTGAGTGGATCATGGAAGGAGCTGGGGCGAATCAATTTCCTGGTGATGGCAGCAGCCCTGAGCAAGTGGGAAGAGTGGGAACTGAGCTGATTGTAGCAGGAGGAGAGAAAGAGCTGCACAGATCAGTTCCCCTGGTGATGGTAGCAGTGCTGAGCGAGTGGTAAGAGCAGGCTGAGCGCGGGTTGCTGATCTTATATGCCCCCACTCTGCAGCTCCACCTCAGGGCTTTTTCATGCGGACCAGCAGGAAATCTCCTGCGGACTGGCACCAGTCCACGGACTGGCGGTTGAAAACCACTGTCGTAGCTGGAAGAATTTGGAGGTGGGTTCATGGGTGCTGTGTCCTTTTCCAGGAATGTCCCACTTTTGTTCCTGATGAAAACCTTGCGATTTATGTCAAAATGTTGTGATAATATCCCATGTGGTAAGCATGAAAGTCTATGAAGGTTGTTTTCTAGAGTTTTCATGGTATAATGAATTGGTATACAGGATTCATTTAAAAGACTTGGAATATAATTGAGAGGGAGGGAAATTACTCAAGTCTGACAAGAATCTCAGCAATACTTACTGGTACTACTGACTTATCAATGTTTTAATTACATTTTATTTTAATTTTAATGAAA